TCATTCTGAAATGAGGATTTCGTATTGGCGCCCATGCTGATGCACGGAAAGCCCACGCTCGCTTACTCTGAGCAAATTCAAAAGGGGAATTTCTCAACAACTTTATGCGAATCAGACAATTCTCCCCAGCGCAAGCGTTATTCTTTTGCTTGCTTGATCTGTATGGCAGACGGAATGGAGTGAGGTAGGTAAACAAGAAGGAGAGAAAATATGAAAAACGAAGCAAGCGAAGTTGAATTGGGCGCTTCAAGCAAAGTAAATGGCTGTCAACATAGGTTGATATTAGTGTCCCAATGGTAAATTTATGGTAATGCTCAAGCTAGGGAGTGTCCCTGAGAGAAAATGGTTCTTCGCAGTGGCCTTCACTCTCAATCAACTCGAGGATAGTATATGTGAAGAAATGTTTACGAAAATAAATATCTTTGACACCCCAGGGATGGAGTTATTAGAATTAAGCCAAAACGGAGCTGAGGGTGAGCTGGCATTGCGGCGTTACAGCAGGATTTTCGTCGCCTCGTTGATAGACAAACACGGAGTACCTAGGTAACTAACTAACCACAGTGGCTGGGCTTTGACTGGCCAGAAAGAGAACAAAATTACCTATTGACGATGCTCGGTATGGCAGCAGGAGTAAGTGGGTATCAAGTTTCATTTTGATTTACGGAGGACAACCCAACTGCTGGCATTTCAGAGCAGCTAAGAGGGCTTGGCAAATGAAGCTATCGACCTCAAAGGCTTAGGCCAGATATCTCACTGCTGGATTGTTTACTTTTTTTCTCTTGGCTGGAAAAGGGGTTGTTGAGTTGTCTTCGTCGTTCAATACTAATAATTACTGATGGTACTAGGTTTTGGCACTATTCAGATACCCATTCAAGCTGCTGTAACAGAAGATAGCAAGAGTGTCTTTCGAAGCCACATAGCCATATACCAGATGAATCCCACAAAATCTTGTTATTATTATGATGAATATCCCCTGTGCTCCGCACTATGTTTACCAGTACCCAGGTAGATAGAACCTATCCATGACTTAGGCTCACCCACAACGCGGAGCGTTGTGGGTGAGCCACGGCGATACCGCCAACCACACCGGATCCGCCAATTTTCGATATTTGGTTTTTTTTGGACCTGAGCGGCCTCATAGGCCTAGAGGAGGTGAGATCTATTAATTCTAGAAGGTTTAGGCATATTTAGTGGTTTGAATAGCTTTAAATGATCCAAATAATGATCTTAATCGAACAATGGCGGATCCGGTATGCCTAGAAGAATTAGTGATTATCCTGATGCGTGGTTGGCGGTATGTGGGTGAGCCTTAAGTCACAGATAAGTGACTGTACCATGGATGGTCACTATTTGGTACCTGGAAGATACTGTGTGTTAATTATTAGATACTGGGGCCAGCCTCCAGTGGGGAAGAGACGGAATGTGGATATATCATGCACAGCCACTGCAACTTGATCCATTTCATCATCCTTGTATTATTATCTAGTATCTACACAGTACATACTTTGAGTACGGACTATTTACCATCTAAGATCCAAAATCCATATTCGTCCGCCTAGGAACGACGGTACGTCCCTACTCCCTCCACCCTTGGGTATTCACGTCATGAAAATTACCAGGGGAAGTTTCACTAGTACTTTTACGATGAAGCTTTCTCGAGGTCATACTCCGACTGTCTTAGGCTCCCTTAGCAGTGGTACTCACGGAGTGAGTACCCGGACTGTGGCAAGGACTTGGAGGTGTGGTGTTCCAACTGACATCATCAGGCTGGTGGATTATCTTGTCAAGAATGCGAGGTCATGCACAGGGAGAGCATGATTCAATATATCGTCTCCAATCTACTCCGTAGAAGTGCCACAGTCCAATTCAGGACGCTGCTGTTGACGGGCACTTTGGCTCTCTGAAGTGCAATAGTATCGTCTGTAGGGGCCGCATTCACATATGGCAATCATCAGCGCCCGGATGATCATTATTGTTGCTTATTTATCTACACCTTAGAACTCTACGCGTTTTGATAGAGCCTAGGATCTGGAAACATGGATAGATCGGGCTATTTTGTAAGTAGGTACTACCGGAAATCGTAACTACTCCGATTGGGTGGTATCTTTGCATGCTGTTAGGTCATGCACTCAGGGTCCCCAAGGTCCCTTAAGGAACCAAGTCTCCCCGAGTCCCCGTATCTACCGCTGTAGATCATGGCCACGGGGTTTGGCTGGTGGTAGGTACATCAACGCTATCATCGGACATCTCAAGCTCTGAACCAAATCCTACGAGCTTCATTTTCGAAGAAAAACTTCCAACGATGCCCTGCCTACGGAACCTTTACGTACACGTCGTAGTTGAGAACCCTGACGCTTAACGAATAATGCACTTTTTCCATGGAGCCCTGGACTTGAGGCAGAGTCAAAAACCTATATAAATGATACTTCTCTGTGAATCTGCCATCATTTCGGACTCCGGTACGCTGATAACACCATAATCCTAGAACATTGCGGGAGGCGGCGACAGGCGGCTATTGTCGGGAGGGGGATCTTCTTGTTACGCGATTTTTTTCTCATCCTGCACACATCTGCTTTTCCTTACTCTCATTTCGGAATTCAATCAAATACAGCTTGTTTGCCTTATCATAAACTTTTCTCACTTGAACTAATTGAAGCTGATATCCTGGGTTTTCTTTGGCCTTCCTGGGGCCTATCGCTCATACAATGTCGTCCAAAACGTCCCCGGCCGTGCCTCCAGTGGCCCTTGATGCTATCACTCAACACATCGGCAATACCCCGCTTGTGCGCTTAAATCGCGTACCACAGAGCCTTGGAATTGAAGCGACTGTATATGCGAAGTTGGAATACTTCAATGCCGGGGGTAGCGTGAAGGACAGAATCGCCCTGCGCATGATTGAAGAGGCGGAGAGATCGGGGCGCATCAAGCCTGGTGATACCCTGATTGAACCTACCAGTGGTAACACGTTAGTTGCGCCATTTCCTTACCTTCTTTTTCCCTCCGTGATGGTTGAGAACATGAGCTAACATTTCGCGTTGTCTTCAGCGGTATTGGATTGGCTCTTGTTGCTGCCGTCAAAGGTTGGTCCTTCTACCCTCGGTCCTTGTTGGTAGATCACGATGCTCATAAATCCTCAAAGGCTACAAGACTATTATCACTCTTCCCGAGAAGATGTCCGCTGAGAAAGTCTCCGTACTGCGGGCTTTGAACGCTACCATTATCCGTACGCCTAACGAGGCTGCCTACGACTCCCCCGAATCCCATATCGGCGTCGCCAAACGTCTCGAGAAGGAGATCCCCAATGCGCATATCTTAGACCAATACGGAAATGTGAACAATCCATTGGCGCACGAGCTCGGCACTGCGGAAGAGATCTGGACTCAAACTGACGGCAAGATCAGTGCTATCGTCGCAGGTGCGGGTACCGGTGGCACTATCACTGGTCTGGCGCGAGGCCTGAAGAAGCACAATCCCAAGGTGAAGGTCATTGCGGCTGATCCTCACGGTTCTATCCTGGCTGTTCCGGCCGATCTGAATAAGGAGCATGAAAATGAGCCCTATAAGGTTGAAGGTATTGGGTATGATTTCATTCCGCAAGTGCTTGACCAGAACGTCGTGGACAAGTGGTACAAGACTGGGGACAGGGAGTCCTTCCAATATGCTCGGCGATTGATCGCCGAGGAAGGTCTTCTTGTTGGTGGGAGCAGTGGAAGCGCGATCTCAGCGCTGGTACAGGCCGCAACAGAGCACACCTTCAGCAAAGACGATGTAGTAGTTGTGATTCTGCCTGATAGTATCCGGAGCTATCTCACAAAGGTATTAATCCAGCCCCTGGCTATTTCTATTGGTCAAATCTGACAGGCCATAGTTTGCCGACGACGACTGGCTTGCCGCAAATGATCTGCTGCCCTCGTTATCCTCCGAAACTACGTTGGTATCGCAGAGTGTGCAACCACAGGCACCAAAGGATAAGTTCGCTGGAGCGAAGGTTAAATCCTTGAGACTGAAGCCCATCACAACTGTCCGGTCCAACATCCCGTGTGAGAATGCTATCGAGATTATGCGCGATAGAGGATTCGATCAACTTCCCGTCCTTGCCCCCTCTGGAAAGAAGCTTGTTGGACTGGTCACTTTGGGAAATGTCCTCAGTCGGCTGACCCACGGACGCGCTACGAAGAAGAGCTTGGTCGCAGATGTCATGTTCGACTTCGGCAAGATCTCAGAGGTCGTCACCGACCCTAGGGACCTCGGTCTAGCAGAATCCAAGCTGAGTGGCGACCAACAGAACGGAGCTGATGTCTTACGGCCACAAGCCAAAAATCGCAAGTTCATGGAAATTACTATGGACACTCCTCTGAGCGTCCTCAACCGTTTCTTTGAATGGAACAGCGCTGCCATTGTCACTGAGAGGGACGAGCATGGAACGATGAGGCCCCTCGCGGTCGCAACCAAGGTCGATCTGCTCACCTGGATGCTCCATCACAATGAGGACTCTTCTTAATACGGGTCCCATCCGATTTTCTTACAAAGTTTTCACGTATCGAAGATGCGCATCATTAGGATGAGTCATTTGCTTCAGGGAGCTCAACCTCATCTCTCGTGATTTGGCGATATCAGTCTGCATTCGATTATATAGAGACATTCATCCATAGATTGGGTTCAACACGATCATGGGGGCAGGGTACGGAGTTAATCAGGTTATTTCGAATTCTGAATACACGCATTGAATCAACCAATGACTGAATCTCGGATCCTTTTTTCCACCTGATTGTGGTGGTTACACAATTCCGTTCCATTCTCATCGATGCGGACACCCTGACGTAGGACTGACTTGTTTGTATCCCCGCATGTGGTCGCCTTAATCTTCAGACACTCTTTGACGTCAGACGTTAACGCGCAAAAGTCAGGGAGGATGAAAAGAATTTGTATCCCATTTGCGACCTTTGTTATTCTCTTCATAGACTCGGACGAGCTTTGAGCTTAGAAACAACTTGTGTAAGATGTCGGGGTTCTTTACGTACCGAAACTTCTCTTTACAGGACACGCCTCCTTTGGACGGGAAGGTAGCTGTGGTGACGGTGAGTATATAGTCACTGTGAAGAATGGATAGCAATCTCAGTGATGGAACTGCAAGGTGATGAATGCTGATGACTGTCGCTTCACAGGGAGGCCAAGCTGGCATAGGGGAAGGTGTGTAGCAACTTCCCATACCGATGGGTACCATATGAGTACTCATCCATATCTTATACAATCATTCCATCCTAATCTTATATTCATTGGTTCAGAAATTGTTGCACAGTTACTCTTGCACAATGTTAGGAAAGTCTACATTGTAGCGCGAAGCAAAAACAAGTACCTCAGAGCACTAGAGATCTGGCGACAGCGCCATGGCATAGTTCTCAGCGAGAATGATGACAGGGTGGAATTCATTCAGTGCGATCTGGGAGACATCAAATCCGTAAAGGATGCAGCGGATGAGATTACGGCCAAGACCGACAGACTGGACATCTTGATATGCAATGCAGGTAAGCTTTTTCGCTCGACTGCGCAGCCGCTTCGATTGCTGAAGTCTGCAAAAGGATTGGGGGTGGCACCTCAGTACAAGAGGTCACCCCAGAATATCGAGATCATCTTTGCTACTAATTGCGTCGGCCATCAGGTCCTGGCCACCCTCCTGCTTCCTCTTCTGAGACGCACAATAAACCAGGGCAAGGCACAGGAGGCTCGGATAGTCGTCACCAGCTCATCTTTTCATCAATTTTGCCGCAAACTAGATCTGGATTTGCTCACATCTCCAAATCGCCCCAAGCCTGCAATGGTCGACGGGCTATGGCGTTACGGTCGATCCAAGCTAGGTAACATTCTCTTCACAAGAGAACTTGCCCGTCGGCTCGAGCAGGGGACGGATCCCGCAGATAGACACATCTATGCCAATGTATTCTTTCCAGGAAATATCGTCAGCGAGCAGTGGAATTCCTGGGATGACTACTTTGGAAAAATAGGAGGCTCTATAATGAGACGCCTGTTCTCACTGATTGGACAGAGCACGCAGGATGGTGCTGCAACAGCCATTTATCTAGCTGCGAGCCAAGCAATTCGAGAGAATGGAACGCGTGGTCAATACTTCATTCCTATTGCAACCCCTTGCAAAACAACTCCGGTTGCTGCTGATATGAAGCTTGCTCGCGAACTTTGGGTGAGTCCTCTGTGCTGAGATACATTCCGCTACCGTCAATCCGATGATTTTTTCTCACATAACTTCGTCCTCTATTTAGGATTGGATAAATGCCCGAGCGACAGAGACTCTAGGTTCAAACTGGCAGGGCGAGGCTGGCGTGGGTTCGTCCAATCGCATCTAGAGCCACAATGGCCCATAAATCCAATTTTTTGCGAGGAGTCCTTCTATAGTCCGGCCAAATGAAGCCATCGGCCGGGTGGACCGCACTGGAGGGACCGTAGGTCGCCCACCAGCTACTTATATACTTTCCCAAAGGTTTCCAGTCTGGTAAAGAGGCCCGGAGAATCGAGCCCCACATTCATGAACCAGCATTCATAGGCATTGTCCGATCCATTCTTCCCATCTCCTCACACCGGCTCCAGTATTGCCCTCCTCATCGCCTATTACAGCTCCGCCAATGACGTCGACTTTCACACCAACCTCATCTTCTAGTAGCTTGAAGCTGAAAGTATCCTGCGCATTGATGCTGCCCAAGGTATCATCTTCGTCCTCAGCCGTAGCAGTGTCCTCGCTGGCATTCATGAGCCCCTTGCTCTTGGATTTCCGGATCCTATCGATCTCGGTTTCCAGTTTTTCACGAACAGAGCCTGGCGGCAAGGCGGTGAATAGGTCTTGTTTGTTGGCGGCCACGAGGACGGGGATTTCCGATGCTACCTTGGCGGAAGATTTGCCTTTCTTCAAAGCGCGTTTCTGAAGAGCGAGAAGAACATCGTGCAAATAGGATGCGGTGTCTCTCAACGTGTCTTCCTCGGTCAAAGCTGCAGTGTCTACCATAAAAATGACAGCGCGCAGCTTCAATTTCTTGTCTTTCGCAGTTGCCATTGACGCCAGTTCTGAAAGGCCCTGGGCCTCCCGTAGTTTCCCATGGCCAGGCGTATCCTTCAAACGATATCTAACAGGATTCTTAGAGACATCCTTCACAGAATAATCATTGACGGAGCGGTAGCGATTTGATGCAGTCGGTACCGAGGCAGGGAGGCTGACGATGGCTGAGGTAGATGTTTGAGATGTGTGCGTGATTTGGGTCGCTCTAGCCAAGCGGGATGTCTTGCTTTCAAGCTATCATGTAACATCAATGACTGTTGATTGAAAAGGTAGCGTTCGCACGAGAACTGCGAAGCCATTCCGAGAATGCTGGTCTTACCAATGACAACAATGCGGTTTTTCCTGCCCCGCTAGGTCCAAGAAGCAGGAAATTGCTCAATGGCGGAGACGCAACGGACCGGTAGAAGATGAAATGCAACAGAATAGGCAGTCCAAAGGCGATGAGGGTTGTGACTGCAATAGCGACGAGATTACCGTCCAAAAGGCTGGTGAAAATCCGCTCAGCCAGACCCCAATCTCCGTGGTCTGCCATCTCTGCGTATGGATGCTTATTTATTAGGAGGAATAGTATCAATGATGGTTGCTTGAGGAAACAATGGTCAAACCACTAAAAGCATGAGGAATAGTATCAGGTCAAAATGCGCACCATCTCCCACATAGGGCAACTCGAGTATGCGTTTTGCAGAATGGTTGCCAACGACTGCGGGTTCTTTTGAGTAATCATGGCGCCACCGCATTTCCATTGGGCTTGGTGCCTTAGCTGTTAGGTTCCCGTTCTCTTATCGATTAGAGGCTGATCGATAAGAAGACTGGCATGTATCAGAGTTATATACCTCTCTACAAGGGGTCACAGAGATGCTCACATACCTCCGGTATGCAGGGATGGGGGTTGCCTCTTGTTTATTGATTTGGTCACTGAATTAGACCTTGCTTAGATCTCTAGCTATCCAGCTGCTTTTAGATTATTGTGTACTGCTTGAGAGCTACTTCCTCAATATGAATATTCTACAGTCCCTCTCCATCTTACTGCTACTTCCATGTACATTAGCAGATGTTGACTTCACCGTGCCGACCATTGGCACGATTTTCAAGGGTGGCGACGTTGTTACAGCGCACTGGTGCGAGTCAGGCCAGCGTCCACGAATTTCGGAACTGTCACAATATGATCTTTACCTCTACGCAGGAGGAGATACGGCTGATACCCAGGTGAGTTGCTGGGCATTACAGACTGTTCAGGGGTTCCTGTTAACGGAAAGAGGGCCAAATAGCATGAAGTAGCTGTCCTAATCAAAGACGGTCTCTTCACCCGTGGGAATTCGGTCTCCGTCAAGATCGATCCTGGTGTCGGAGGCAATGAAGCCAACGCATAGTAAGACCTCGGGCTTTTCTTGCTTCTTTAAAGCTACTGCATTTCTCGTCTTGCACTGACGCAATTCAACAACCTGCAGTTTCTTAAAGATGGTTGCCTCTGGTCCTGAGGCCTTTGCCATTAATTTCTCAAATCGCTTCACACTCAGCAACATGACCGGGTCGTTTCCACCTCACCTCGTGGATGAGATTCGTTCTCTCTCAGATTCTGACGGATCCGCTGTCAAAGAAGATTTACGAAAGAGAGTGGTTGGAGCAGCTTACGCAGCTTACACTGTACCCTATCCTTTGCAGAGCGGTCCAACAAAGTATGCTCCAATGGCCAAGGAACCCGGGAGTACTATCCCTGTGAAGACGAAGGCTCCAGCGCCGCAGTTCACAGCAAGTGTCTACACAATCGCAACGACTTGGCTTCCTCCAGCGACAGTGCAAGCTACACTTTCTGCATCTGCAACGTACTCTATTGTCAGTGTTGAGAACACAGTAAGTGGATTATTGCATGGCCTTGACAATACATGTGCTTCTTCTAATAGACACTTTCCCTAGGCGTCCCCTGCACCGCATCCTCACGATGCCGCAATGAAAAGATTAATGGAGAGATGGAAGGACTAATGAAGCAAATTGAAGAAGAGAATATGATATCATGACATTTCGATCGCATCCAAGTCACAGGTGCCAGAGGCTCTGCCTCCTATCGGCCAATTTAGCGGTGTTGAATCTCCTCTATTCACGGTCTAAAATAGACTTAGCCTAGAATTGATAAACACATACTCCGTGATTCGTCCACTTCATCTTGATGACTCCCGAATTTCGCTCCAAATGCAATTTCCAACGTAAGAACAGATAAGGTATCACTGCGATATGGCAAAAAGAAGAAATCATCCGAGTCATGTCGACTCGATTTATATATCGTTTCGCGCAAGAGGTCTAGTCATTGGCCGAAATCATTCGAAGGTTGCGAACTGCTATTGGCGTGCGGAATCATCCGACCGAAAAAAGGATATATTCTCCCGAAGAGCAACGTATTCGCTATCAGCATATCCGAGCAAGGACTGAATGTGTGTGCTTCTGTGACCCTTTATGCGTGCAATCTCAGCGCTGCCGTAATTGACCAGTGCACGGCCAACTTCCTTGGGTTCCTGCCCGTGGTGGAGGAAGTCTCCGTTGAGGGAGTCGGGCGAGAGTCGCTCAACAACAACCAGTCGCACGGCTTCCTGTTGACCGAAGTGGCCATCTACACCGACGACACCTGCTGGTAGGAGACTGGCTTTGTTCAAAAGAGCGCTATATGCCCCATGGTCGATGTACAGACTCCCATGTGGCTTGAGGCCATGCAGCAGCCAGAATGATCGGGATTGAATTGGTGTGTCTGAAGGCAGAAAACGCGTATGTAGAGGCGGCGACAGCGGTGACTGTGACTCTGACAGCGTGGTTTCTACTGTTGAAGACTGCCACGGGATACCTCGTTGCGTTTGCTGGAGATACTTTACGATCTCGAGAACATTGCCCGGTTTGGAACTCTTGGTGATCACCGTCGTCACTCCAGCACTGGTTGCTAATTTTGCAGCTACAATCTTTGTGCTCATTCCGCCAGTTCCGAGTGATGAACCAGCAGACGACACGTCGGCTTCCAGAGAGGAGATGTCGGAAACCACCTCGATGGGCTTAGCATCCGGGTTGTGACGAGGGTTCGAGGTATATAGGCAGTCAACATCTGTCATCAGAAAGAGGTAGTCGGCCTTCACCATGGCCGCCGTTATGGCCGATAAAGTGTCATTATCACCGAATTTAATTTCCTTGTGAATTTCGTCAGATCAATGGATCATTTATGGGACAGAGAGATGCTTACAGAAACCGCCAGTGTATCGTTCTCGTTAACGATGGGAATGACCCCCATATCGAACAGCTGGGCAAAAGTGTTTTGAGCATTGATGTATTGTGTCCTCTAAAGTCGAAATTAGATATCTTGGGTTCAGAGTTGCAGTGAATAAGTCCTCACATCCGCAATGTCATTCCTGGTTAAGAGGATCTGCGCTACAGGGAGTCGAAGGTGTGAAAATAAACCGTCCCACAGGCTCATGAGTCTGCATTGTCCGACAGCTGCTAGCGCCTGAAAAATGCAACCGGTCAGGACATCTACCCTTGCGGGACTTGAGAACGCTGGCTTATACCTGTATGCGAGGAAGATATTTGGGTCTCTCGTCCACATCCATCCTCCGCAAACCAACGCCAACAGCGCCAGAAGAAACGAGGACTACATTGTGCCCATCCCTATGCAGCTTGGCAGCCGTCTCGACGATTAAGGTCAAGATCGAGAGAATGGGCTCATGAGTATTCTCATCAACTATGGAGCTCGTCCCTATTTAACTGGTGAGTCAGTCATTCTCAAACAGCATATAGCATCATCCAGAAAAAGAAAAAAACAGATCCCCGCACCTAGTTTTATTACAATGGTGAGACGCTGCGACAGCATTGTTACGACTATTTATTTGAGGTTTTCAGAAGCAACTAGGAACTCCCATGACAAAGAAAGTCAACAATTCAACAGATCATTCCTGGGCCTGAAATCTTGATGGCTCGTCTCATCCTCAATAATCTCTCAGACAATCCGATTGCGGACCATTTGTTTTGCCGCCTGTCACCGCATATGCGGAGAGCCTTGACGAATCTTCTTCCTTCGGCGCTCTAAAGTAGATCCACTGGTGGATAACGGCTCTCTGATAGAGCTTTGAAACTTAGCAACTTGGCTTGAGAAATGTCAGATTCGCAACCTGGCTCAACTTCTTCTACCGGTGGCAAGTCTGATAGTGGATATATCCCTGGAGATGACACATGGACCCAATGGCGCAATATATTTGCTATCTTGACGGGAAAGATGACGGATGAGGGAAAGGAACAGTTCCGGATTGCACGAGATATCCGCAATGAAGCCGCAGATTGCAAGCGCTGTGAAGATCAAAGAGACTACCTATTACAGTACAGTGAGTACTGAAGCCACTCGAAGTTTTCATAGTTACTTCACACGGAATTGCTATCCATATTTATCCACTTGTCATCAGCTCCCTGAACCGGGCCCCTACGGAAATCGTCTGACAAACATATGCTGTCCAGGTCCGATCATACGGTTTTTGAGCGACAATATTCGACAGCTAGGGGGCGATCTTTCCAGTCACAACATCTATTGCCGCCGCTGTACGAGCAGAAAGGCTGGGGGTTTCGATCCGGAATATGGCATCTTGCTTTGCGCGAACGAGATGAAGGACCAAGGGCATCTGGAGGACACAATGGCACATGAGATGGTTCATGCATACGACCACCTAAGATTTAAGGTGGACTGGACAGATAATCTGAGGCATGCAGCTTGCACAGAGGTATTGAACTCTCTCGCTAAACCCAAGCCAGCATCAACTGACTTATTGCAGATCCGAGCAAGCTCACTCAGTGGTGAGTGCAGATGGGCGCGGGAATTCTTCAGACGTGGTCAGTGGAAGTTCACGCAGCAACATCAGGAGTGTGTAAGAAGAAGGGCCATCTTGTCAGTAAGAGCTAGACCTGGATGCAAGGATGAAGCCCATGCGGAGAAAGTGGTCAATGAGGTTTGGGACAGCTGTTTCAGAGACACGCGGCCCTTCGACGAGATTTACCGTTGAGACTCGTGGTTTTCTTAGGAAGATACGTCAAGCCTACCCTGCCTGTCTGATTTTGTGCATGAAATCTGCGCTCTGCAATGTATTATAGTCAAGTTCCGGATGTTACAAATAGAAGATACCAGATGACGCCGAGCTAAGAGCCCTGATAGTTCAGATCTTCTAAGAAAAAAGGGAAAAAGCAAAAAAAAGCACAAAGCACCTTCCAACTCCATACACACAGGCTGAAATGAACTGGCTGACAAGGAAAGGAGGTACAACACCCTAACTCCAGAAATGCATGGGTCTTACCATCATGCTTTGACTTCTTTTGAAGAACCAGAACTCCGTTTCGTGACCCGGTCATCCTTCAAGCAATGTTTAAGGATCCAGGGATGTCGCTGGATCTCATCAAGGGAAATACGCTTGTCTGGGTCGAGAACAAGCAACTGTTTGAATGTTAGCAAGTGTACTTGCCTTGAGCGGTAGGGTTCGCATACTCTCTTGATAAGATCTTTTGCCTCGGGACTGACAAATGAAGGCACCGTCATGTCCGCTCTCGCAATTCGTCTTTGCGTCATGACGGGAGTGTCTTCGAAGGGCGCTTCCCCAACCAAGAATTCATAAGTCAAGACGCCCAAGCTCCATAAATCAACCTTTTCGCTGTAGTAGTTGTCTTGCGAGTTGGGTTTGAGCATTTCGGGAGGAAGATAGTCCAGTGTTCCACACATCGTCTGCCTTCTGTTATTGGGCGCATGGACACTCCACCCAAAGTCACTGATCTTGATTTCCCCGTGGATTCCCACGAGTATGTTCTCCGGCTTGATGTCGCGATGCATGACGTGCTTCTTATGCAAGTACTTCAATGCGGCAGCCATCTGCGCAATATATTGAGCTGCCTTCCACTCGGGAAAGCGATGCTCCTTCCGGAGGTGCTTGTACAACTCTCCTCGGCCGGCGAACTCCAGGATCAAGAAAATTCGCTTGCTATCATGGAAGTGGCCGTAAAGTCTGAGAACATTGGGATGACGTAGGTTGCTCTGTATTTCAATCTCGCGTCTAACTTGCTTCTGCACTCCCCCCTGCTGCAGCTCGGATTTGTGCAGGACTTTAAGAGCACAAACGAAGCCGGACGATCGCTCTTTGGCCAGGTAAACCCTACCAAATTTCCCCTTTCCCAAGGGCTTGCCGATCTCAAACATTCCCAGATGTAATTTCTTGGGGCCGGGCTGCTCGTATAATGGTGTCGTGTGTCGCGGTTCTCCATTCTCATCTGTGTCACGGTGCGGCAATGTGCTCTGAGCTCCCTTGAGAGGGGACGAGCCGGCATGCATCGCATTCACTTTGTTCTCATTTGTGTTTTGCAGGGCAAGCTTCAACAAGGTTGATCGACTTGAGCCACTGTTAAACTGCCCAGCGGCTCCGAGGCCTGAGAGGGACACCGCTGTTGACAAAGAGCCCTGTCGAGCCGGATTAGCAGGCTGTTCCCCTCTCCCCAAAGACCATTGCAAGAGATTTACCTTGTGTTTCGAGTATGTGCTGCCATTCTTCCCATGATCAGCATCATCTTTGACAGAGAGATGCTCAAAACGAGCCTCTAGCGCCTTGGTAGCCATGAGAATCTTGGGATGAGAATTGTCAACTGCTTTGGGAAGAGGAGAAGCAAGTAAGACCGTGCGATTCAGAGGAGCTCTAATGGTTTATGCAATCATAATTAAACTGATAATGGAAGACTTGGAGTGTCAAATAACAAAAAGTAGTCGGGAGTCCTTTGGGAAAGAGAAGAGCAACATCCAACGATCCACTTGTTTATCTAGTTATGCTCCTTTGACACATCACCACAGCAACGGATCGGACCGCCTCTTTCTCCGACACCGCGGGGTATCTATTATTGGCGACGAGGTTGAATATATGTCGTTCGACTTAGCGGCATCTTTAAATGGATGGCAGAAATATACGCCCCTTGTAAGCGAATATCGAGCTGCTAATTTGAAGGGGTTCAACAATCAAATTTCAATTTTTGGTATTTGAGAGAAACCAGAGAATGGCCTCAGCAGGCTCCGCATCCGCTATGGATGCCGCCGCAGTTTCCCCAGGCGTCCAGAGGCCCAACGTTATCTCGGTGAAAGGATTCAGAATAATAACTCAGAAGCTCCCTATTTTGAAAGCTGAGCCTATCGAGGAGATGACGAAAAGGTTGGGGATTGCGCCGCCGGAAATGATCTTCGGCGACAACCATGTCACCATCGAATCTGAAAAGAAGGATTGGGGCATTACCTTCAATGCGTTTGACGCGCTGGATCGTGTAGACAAGACGGGCACCTCTATGCTCAGAGTCGCGCATTCGAAAGAATGGCAGAAGAGCAGGTAAGCCAGTTCCGTATGGTGCAGCCCTCCCTCATCTACCTAACACGAAACAGGGAGAAAGCCCATGAAGGTATCAAGGACGTTGTCAAACCATTCGATTGGTCCTACACCACAGATTATATGGGCACTGTCCATCCAAACAGTCGGCCCTTTGAGACAACCACGAAGTCCATACCTATCGAGTTACTGAAGCGCCCAGATCCGATACTGTTCTTTGATGAGGTCATCCTCTACGAAGATGAACTGGCTGACAACGGCATTGCTATGCTGTCCTGCAAGATTCGCGTAATGCCAGACAGGCTCCTGCTGCTCTCAAGATTCTTCATGAGGCTCGATAACGTACTCTTCCGGCTTCGAGATACCAGATTATATGTCGACTTTGAGAGTAAGGAGGTCATTAGAGAGTATCAATCCAGGGAATGCGATTACGAAAGAGTCCGCCAGGTATTGTGCTCTAAATGACTCATCAGTCCCCATGAGAGATCAGTCTATTGATGATGTTTTTACAGTCTCTAGCGACGACGAGAGACGATGTCCCGGCAATAATGAGAGACCCAAACAGGCTCTCTGAAATTCTTCCCCTCATAGAAAAGCGCGTGGAAAAAGCGACCCTGGATGCATAGCACGAAACACTAGAACCTGTGGAGAGACCTATTGGCCATCATGGCAGGATGATTGAGTCGATCGACATCGCTTCGCGCTCCCTCTAACTCCTCTTTCTGAGCGGCCTCCGCCATAGTAACGGCTCATCCACAGTCTCCCAAGAGAGACTCGCAAGCAGTTAAAGGTACCTGAACCCCTGCCTTCAACAAATGGACAACTTGCGAAGTGTCTTTATGTTGATGATTGCAAATTCGAAGGCGGGCTTTGTATGTCCTCGTAGTCAGGAATGATCTAGACTAGCTGGCGGGAAATCTATTGGCTGTTCTGCGTTGGAGAGGTAGCCCTGAGCAAACAGTGCAAACAGAGCTTCCGCGCTCCACGCATCATCAGTCTCTACCTCAGGACGAGCTTCATCCCGACGCATATATGCCAGTTATTGAACGAATTATATTGGCCGGATTGTTTCGACCAAAGATGCCTTCCAAAAGTTTGAATCTGACTTGGGTGCGCGCGCTACGCAAATCGGAGTGTCCCGAATCTCAAGTATGCAGCAACACAGTTATCCGAAGTCCAGTCCGAAAAATTGCCTGACTGACCATGAAACGAACTGTAGGCACATGCACTCAACCTGTCTGTAATTTCGCCCCGAAGTCATCGACGATCCTTGTACATATCTGCGCCTATCGCATCGCAACCTGTATCTTCAGGCCTTGTGTCCTTGCGCTCGCCGGCCCATCCGAACCGCAATGCCCGTTTGGTCCAGCAGACTTTGGGTTCAGTTCCACACTGGCGGGCCTCTTCACGATTATCGAGGGCTATAATGCCTCGCCCTGGGACAGCTGCGGAAACATATGTCGCATACGGCATGACTCAGAAATTATTCGAGGTTTGTTCCAGTCAAGCCGACTACAGCATTCCTCAATTATCCCAGAAAGGGGCTCAAGTTCCCAAAACTGAAGCTGGGGAGGATCTTGGAGTTGGAGAGGGGTGGTGGTACGAAGGTATGTACTGATCTTGAAAGCCTATTGCGCTTGTTTTATATCATAGCCGCGGAGGGCTGATTAAGTACGTCCAGATTTGGGATTGATTCCGACCTTCTCGACTTGGTCGCAGGTTACGTTTCTGCACATGTACCTTCTCACCGTCCGACTGCGCGCTTTGCCGTCATATGAAAGCCTGCAAACGTACTCCCGGCACTTGATAGACCACTTCTCACATAACGCGGAGCATCGCATGGATGTTCTACATGGTCTGACAAGTCGCGCCATCCGGAACAAGTTTCTCAAAGACCTTTTTATTCAATGGCGAGGCGTCCTTGCTGCATACGACGAAGGCCTGGTGAAAGGTGACGCCGTGCTAGGAGCTGCTGTGTGGAGAAATCTCTGGAAGGCAAGCCACACCGGGCCGCATGGTGAAGATATGGATTGGACTAAGGTAGCACGGGTTGTTGCATATATGCGCCGCGTTATATCGGAGCTTTCCCAAATTAACGAGGCCGATCTAATTCTACATATCGGCCCCAGGCCCGGTGGAAAGCCCGGCATCTTTGGTTATTCGGAATTGGATCAGCAGTTGGTCGATGGGAAGAGATGACCGTGTAAACCGAATCTCCATGTATTCCTTCGAATGCAAAACCAGGACTATGCACATCCTGAGTATTAGGACTGAACATTTTTCCTAACTGAAGAACATACACTGTCCTCCATCTAATTTATAAATACCGTGACGTACTCACTACCGCTGTCTCTTCAGCTGTTCTGCCTCAACACCAAGTTGGTTGTTGATGGCCGATGAAGTTAAGTAAGGTCATGGTGATTTTGCAAACGTCGCGCTCGCAGACGTTTCGGGCCTAATTCTGTACTACTCCAGGCAAGCGACAAGAATTCCCGGATGAAGGAGAACATGCGTAAAGTGGCCAGCGCTCCACCTCGTTCTATTCATCTTTCTTACCGAAAAGGTCCTTTTCAACCATGGCACGGCAAATAGGATGGTAGAAATCCCTATGCTTCTCAAACGTCTCAACGGCACGCTTACGGTCAAACTTTGCCAATTTCCGATACCTGCACCGAAGATTAGCTTCAGGACAAACTGCTGGAAAGTAGCACCTGTAGGAATGGCTTACAAGGGTCGCACAAATTTCATTCGACCAATCTTGCCAAGTAGATCTGCCGTCGGTTCAAGTACACTTGCATCGCCTGCCTGCAGACCGACTTGGAAGTACAGGTTGGCCACCTCGATATTCTGGCTCGCGGCAAGTCCATAAATTTCACCCATCAGCTTAGACAATTCAGGGGTCAGCTGACGCTCGGACACGAGAATCTGTTCCAAGAAAACCACGACTTGATTCGCGGTCAAGCCTCGGATATCCTCTGGCTGAGGCTTGAAGGAAGAGTTAGGCAAAGATAGCCACTTTTTAGCTAGGTCATAGACAACATCAACGAGCGACGTGTCGAAATCTGGCTTCGGAGGGAGACCAGGGGCATAGAACCAGCTGTCCCAGTCGAGCTCGTTGAGTGCTGTCGAGGCTTCCGAATCATCCTTGAAGAAATCCAAGATCGTGCTCTTGAATTCATAGGAGTCAAGTGACTTGCCCTTGTATTTATTGAAGTACTGAACATGATTAGCGGGACGCCCTTATCAAGGCAGGACTGTCAACATACGTGAGGGATGAAGAGATCGAACTTGCTCTTTCCAACCAGATTCTCCAGGTGGAATAAAAAGTTGAATCCCTTCTCGTACGGAATGCTTGAGAAAGCGTCATCCGGGTCCATGCCCTTCAGGTTAGTGATAAGTTTGGTGAAGTCATGCTCAGGACCGAAGTGCTCTACAGAGTCTGTGAGAGCCTTCCATCCAATGATGGCGGAGAAATGACGATAAGGCTCGCCGTGGCTATAGCCGTTAGTGACACGGAGCCAGAACGCTCGGGACAAGGATACTTACACTGCAGCTACGATCTTCGCGCGGTTAGCAACAATTAATATGTCTACCCTCTAGAAGGCCAGGAAAGGAGACTTACCCGCCTCTCAAGGTAAGTAGTCCAGCCTTCATTCAACCAGAAATGCTCCCACGAGGCATTGGTCACAAGGTTACCGCTCCAGCTATGCGCGAGCTCGTGAGCAATAACGTCGATATTTTCCCGATCCTGCGCAGTAGATTAGAACTGCCAAAGGGCTTCCGAAGTAATGGTGAGTCAATGCAATACCTTTGAGATGATACTGGGGGTGGCAAATGTAAAGATTGGATTTTCCATTCCCCCGTACGGAAAACTGGGGGGAAGGATCAATACATTATATTCTCCCCAAACGTAAGGGTAAACAATTTTCTGTACGCAAGTCAGTCGAGTGTCTAACTTCGCTCGGTCATTCAGACACACCTCGATTGCATTGATGAATTTCTCCGTATCTGCTTCGAGCTCCCATTGACATTCGCCGAGCTTGTCGGGACTAGTTGCGACAACGCTACGGGGCCCGATCGGGGCTTCAGAGATATCACTTAAAGCTTTCTGTCAGATGAAACTCGCCAAGTGGTCCCAAGGAGTGGCGGAATCGCAAAGGAAGAGTGGAACAAGTAGAATTGGGGGGCAACGACTCACCCGCTAGCTAACGCGAAAAGATAACTTGGAATTGGGACCTTCTGGTGGAACTTGTATAAAGTCTTACCATCGGACTTCGGAGCCTCAGATGAGCCCCGAACGGGGAGCCCGCTGGCAATCACCGGAAGAGGCGAAGTGATGTTGAAGTCCAGCGTACACTTGACATCCGGCGTATCTTGACAGGGAAAGATGGACCGGGCGTGTATAGCCTGACACTGAGAGACTAAAAAGAGCTCCTGTCAACATCTGTTCGTTCTTCTGCTAGGCTCACGTGCTACATCCAGGATTCTCCCGTGGATTGTTTGAGTCTTTCTTCAGGAGAGGGCCGCCCAGGAAGCGATTTGACTTACACATATAAGGGTGCTTCTTATTTGATGTTTGAGCAGGTGTCAGCCATTGAAGAGCAGTACACTTCTCAGTGGTTTTGACGGATATCTAGAACTCATTAGACCGGAACATACATCGCCTAGGAATGGAGATTACGGCAACATACGTCGACCTCAATCATTTCGTTGAGCTTCACACCTTGATCGAGCTTGATCTTGAGAGGGGTGCCGTACGGTTCCAGTCGGGGAAGATACTCCCACTCGGATGGCTGTCCGTTGACTTTCACGCTACCAATATCGAGATGGTTGGTGTCCAGGATGATATGATTGGACTCGCCATGAGTAGTAGAACGGAACTGATGGATCACACTTCCAGCAAGCTTTCTCTGATCAAAAAGGATGTCGAAATTTGCAGTAATATGAGTAGACACCCAATTATTGTAATTGCTCAGGGTATTTGGATCCCGGGGGGGGTTGACAACGGTCGGCATGTTGCGTCTTTGGCTGTGAGAAAACCGTACAGTCCACCTGGTTTGAACGTCAGAGATGAAAGTTGCTCTTGGACCAGAGCAGATATAGCTTCGAGAGAAGCTTAGCCGCCGAAGCTGAAAGCGAGGTACACCAATCATAAATGATTCCCTGGGTTCTTATGGATACCTTACCTGAACCGATCAACTGACAGTGGGCATTTGAGGGGAGGCTATATCCGGACGCGGCCACATGCGGAAGATGGAAAAAATTCATGTACTCCCGTTACGTACAGCAATATCTAAGGAAAGATGCAGAGATAGAGGGAATGGACAGATGAAGTAAGGTAGAAATAGTTAGCGAGCTTCACCTCCGAATCTATCTCTCTATGATGTCCTCGCCTCTCGATGTCTTTGTGAGGTAATGCTGGCAGGTATCTGATGATTCCAATCTATGTGTGTACACTTTAGTGTCATTTCTCGCAGCTATGTTATATTATTAAGGTATTTTTGTTAAGGACTTTGTACGTCCGCCATGCATCACTGTACTTGCCTCCTACCTCTGCCTGTGTGATACCTAAGGTAGGTAGCGCAGGCGTTCGTTACAGCAGCATACCGGTGGAGGTAAAACAAACATATTACTCAAACGCGTGTCAATCAAGCTTCTCAGGGAAGTTCTCGAGTCTCGTTTATTCAGTCGTCTACTTCTCTATCTTATTAATATTTAGAGAAGTTAGATCAGCACAAGGGCATGGCGTAACTAACTAGTCCTGGCATGCTTAGATAGTAATAGACAGGCTACATTCAAAGCTCGGGGTACTCTGTACTGTGTACTGCTTTACCTACAAGTAATCTAGTCTACAGGTATCCATGACTAAGGCTCACCCACACCGCAAAGCGGTCACGGATACAATTAAGCTCCCACAACATCTAGCTGTCAGTAATAATTCCCACTCATCGCGCATCTATCGCCAATTGACACTCACTGTGTATTTTAACGTTCTTTTCAGCTTAATGCCCTTTGTCCTTCCCTAATATATATAATCCGTTCTTGATTTGAACCTCATCACCACCTCGCTTCATACCTAGCTCCAATGGATACACCCCGAGTTCAGGTAGGCGCGCCGGAGGTCGCCCAGGCTCCTGAGAGCACCCAAAACACTGAAACACCCGATGTGGATATGAATGAGACTCAGCAGAGCGCGGTGAATGAATCCCAAGCGGACGCGACACAACAGGATATTTCTCTGTCTGACGCGCAGCCACCTAGTTCAGCACCAACAGAACCGCCGCAACCTCCCAAGAAGAAGTCAGGGCTTCATTTTCTTGAGTAAGCTCATATTTCCGGGAAGCTTCAACAATGCGACCTCAATTGGCGCATGCACGGCTCACACCGCTTAGCTACCTGACGTCGCCCATTGTGGAACTCATCGTCGGGAAGGACGAGCACAAGACTTCCTTAACAGCGCACCAGAGCTTGTTGTTGGAGTCGCCATTCCTTGCGCAGGCTGTCGCCGCATTCAGCGAATCAGGTCCCGTACGCACTAGCTTCCTCCTGAGCAGTATTCTGGATGCTTTTACTAATACAATATCTGGCATGCAGCGGCGTATTGAGCTTCCCGATGAGAACGTCGAGGCATTCGGTTGCTTCCTCCAGTTCCAATATACCCATGAGTACTCCGCATCCCCCGCCGATCCATCCGCCGATCAAGACGTTGTAGGCGAACTGGATGATAGCGGCGAGCTACTGTTGAAACACGCGCGTGTCTACACTCTAGCAGAGAAGCTCGGCGTGCCTGCGCTCAAGAGTCTGGCACACTCGAAGATCCACCGTATCAACAGTACCTCTCACGGAGAGATCGCGTACGCTCGTTATGTCTACACGCACACGCCCGTCGACGATGTCACTATTCGAAAGCCCGTCGCCTCCTTCTGGGCCACCAGAAGCCATGTGCTGCGCCACGAGGCTGAAGAGGAGTTCAAGAAGCTGTGTCTTGAAATGCCTGAGTTCTGCTTTGATGTACTCAGTCTTGTTCTTGACCAAAAAGAGAAACGTGCCCAAGATCGAGCAGAGACCGAATCGGGCATTAAAGGCAGTGGTAGGAAACGTCTCAAGAGCGGTATCTAGACGGCATCCCCTCTTGAGATGACCTATTGCATATCCCACATTTAATCTGTTGTCCTGTATTTCTTGCGATTGTATCTGCATCTGTGTCAAAAATGACTTGTGTACTTACCTTTTCTCTTCTTCTCTTTTACAATTCCCATAGCTACCTGTTCACAGTACAATGTAACAGTACAATGTTGACACAAGCATTGGTTCTCGTGAAGAGTATGTGGCAGCTACCAACTAACAGCACTACTATCATTGCAGGCAAGACGCTTAGGAGACAGCTAGTCTCTCTATTTCATCAACAGCCTTTGGCGCCGTGGTTAGATTATCGTATCCGTTCTTGGTCACAACAACGTTGTCTTCAATGCGGACACCACCCACCCTCCAATAACGGTCGAGGACGTTGGTATCGATGTATTTGTTTGACTCGGGGGACTTGATGTAAGGCTCGATGATAAACCGGCAGAAATAAACCTAGAGTCGCAGCGGGTGTCAGTGGATCAGTCTAGGAAACATGGGAAACCCCCAACTTACGCCTGGCTCGACGGTGATCACTGAGCCCGCAGGCAAACGACCTCTGACGCGAAGGTACCGGAACATGGTATCCTTATCCGTGTAATTCGGATTGCCGCCGGTATCATGAGTGTCCATTCCCAGATAATGTCCGAGACCATGCGGGAAAAACGCAACACTGACTCTCTTTTCAAATATCTCGTCCTCGGCGCCTCGCAGAATGCCTAATCTAAGGAGGCCTCGAATTGCAACACGGTGGGCATGCGCATGCACATCCTCCCACTGAACGCCTTCCTTAAGCATTGCAATACATTCCGTCTGCATTTGCAGGACAATATCGTAGATCTGCCGCGTTTCTGCAGTGAATTTCCCCCCTACGGGGATGACGCGAGTGATGTCTGCACAGTAGGTGCGGTACTCTCCACCGGCATCAATAAGTACATTGCGTTTCTTTTGATTTGTCACGGGGTCGATCAGTGTATCATCATTCTTCCCATAGTGAAGAATGGCACCATTCTCGCCGCAAGCGACGATAGGGTGATAGGACTGCTCTCGAGCGCCATTAGCGATACAAGTTGCAATAAAAGCACCCTCAATTTCACGCTCGTTCACGGCAGTTTGAGATGCCTTAATAGCTGCAATGTGCGCCTTGGCGGAGATATCATTTGCTTTTCTCAGCAACGCCACTTCATACTCGTCCTTGACCACGCGAGACTGCTCGATGACTCCCTTCAGCACGGACTGGTTCACCTCAGAAAAGCCGTGAAATTGTGTGCTTTCGGAGACCTGATCTGCAATGGTAAAAGCAATGGCCTTACCACCATGGCTGGACGCAATTGACGCGAGCGTGCTATTGAGTTCAGTAGTCACCAACACGCGATCGACGTCGTATTGGTTTTGAGCCTGCTCGGTAGACATGGGAAGACCGGACCAGATCACATCCTCCGGGTCAACTGGAGGGATGAACAGAGTAAGTTGGTCCTCGCTCAGATCGTAAACCAGACAAGAGTCCGATAAAGGACATCCAGATAGGTAGAAGAATGGTCGACGTTGTCTAATATTGAATGCGATATGTCAGGTCTATCTTTCCAACTGCTGCGGAGTTCAGAATAAGACGCGATCTCGTACCTAAAGGGAACCGGCTCGTCATTGTCTTCAATCAACCGAGTTTTTTGAGCCTCCAGGTAGACGATTCCAGGACAGCCATTTCTGTGAGACTGGAGACTTTCGGCCACACGGCGCGCATGCGCTTTCGCCGGATACTTGCCCGCCAGAATTGCATCTACCGCGGCCATCATGCTCTGACGCTAGTTGATAAAACAGATGAGAAAGAATTGAAGCCTTAATCCTATATCTCCCCGGAGGATGTGGCCCATGTCATAAATTGGATCTCAATGTGCTCGCTAATCGGCTGCTGCGGGGTCTTACTATGCGGGGCCTGGGCCGGTTAACGTCGGTATACTCCGTAGGTACACCGAATGAGGTATGGACTACCGAGGTCGGAGTAACCTTGTTATCGAGTGCAGAACGGGCAATAATTTGAGAACCAGTATTCCGTAGTCGAGACGTTAAATAGACTATCGGGTCTTTTGTATATCTTCATGCAATATCTTTCATAAGAGCAACAGAGCTATTCACCGTTCTGAACCTGCAACAGTCCCTAGACATGCTATACATTATTCATCTGCATGGGCTGGTTTGACTGCCTGTTGTTACCACATCCTCAAAATCCATCTCCCATCTGTCAACCTCTTCAAATTTCTTGGCTTGCAGTCTGAGCTCCTCGCTCAGGTAATTGTTCGCGGGTATTGGCACCGGCGATGATTCTAGATCGAATGCATCCGTGTCGAGCGGTGAGGACAGAGGCGAGGACACCTCGATTGCTTGGTTCTCCTTGTCGGCATCAGCAGTCTGGTTGCTTCGTGGAGCATTAACTCTCTTTTGCCTCGTGTCCTTCATTCCAGCTGAGTTTGTATGTGCAGAAGACTCAGTTTGACTGATGACTTCACCATTCATAGCTGTGACTGCACCTTGCTTCCTGTGCTTCGTTCGAACAACCTCCAATGGCTTTGGTTTGTCCTTTCGCCGTCGTTGTGCTCGCGCTGGCTCCCTAGTGGGCAAGTATGACAACTCATCTTCATCCTGATCGACAGAATAGTCCTCCTCGCTTTCATCATCTAGAATTACATCACCGGGTACTCCATTGCGTCTGTGATGTTTATGACGTCGCCGAGGAAGCAATCTGTCTTGAAGACTTGCTGTTGACACAGTGAGCTTTCTACTGAATTCTCCTGTGTTACGGTCCTTCGTATGCTCCAGCGAGTCTGCGGGTGATTTAGCGGCCATCACCGTTAAGTGGCTACTCTGGGGACTTGACACTGGGCTGCTGCTCAATGGTGGTGCCACCGTCCGATTCAATCCTTCCTCGTCTGCCAAGTGATGTGAAACCTCGCGAGGGATGCCATGCTCTTCATCGCCACGCTCCGGGCTTATTGAGCCAGTAGGTGAGTTTTCCACAACGGCCAAAGTTGACTGGGGAACTCGAAGCTCCTCCCCGGTGCGCTTGCGCTTTCGCGATCCTCCGCTGGACGGGTGCGAACGGTCCGAAAGAGGCGAGGAAGAGGCATGTCTAATAACGAGGGATTTTCCTCTGGAAACATTGAGGGGAGTCGACTCATCCTCTGGGCTCAGTCCACCAAGAAAATCATCGTCGTCAAGGTCTCCGAAATCAGAAGACCCGTCATCTGCCTGCATCATCTGGAGAATGCTTCCTTGCCGAGGTCGTCTCCTAAAATTGCTCAATATCGAACTCTCGAATCCTGGAGTGCCAGGTATTTTGGAGCTCATATCAGCTCCTCGTCTGCCAACTGATAGCGTAGATGAATAGCCTCGAGCTCTCGTGGGTGGCCGGCTGCCCGTAGCTCCACGTTCTCCCATAGGCGAGGACTCAATTGCTTGTTCTTGCTTCTTGTTCATGGGTGTCTGACCCCTCAATTGTCTTGCGAATTTGATATCATCGACACTAGGTGCCGGCTGTGCCTCCAGCGTCTCGTCATTCTCGGTTCCGTGTAGAGGTCCTGAATTGTTGGCAGTAACCTTGGTTTCAGGATCTTTGGTTTTCTGCGATACCTTAGGCGAAGCTCGGACATGTCGCGATGTGAGACGATTGCGCTTTGTAGGTGGACGTGGCATTGTTGTGTTGTGTCGGATCCAGAAACTTCGGATGCGGCGAGATGAAGAAAAACAGAAAGGACAAGGCTTTTTCCCCCTGAACAAAGAGTGCGCCGAATTACTTTTTTAATAGAGCGGGAATACTGTGTATAATCAATCACCCGTCGAAGTCTCTTGTACGCGTAGTTAGCGAGGTCTGTTTGGGGTATTTGAAACGTAGAACGCGTCTTCAGGGATGGGGTGCAGATAGATAAATGGCGCAATGATTCATAGAACCAGGATCTTGACTAGGAACAAGACTTGCTAGCTAGGACACATAAGATCTTCTGTGGTTCATCAATACTTCTCCCCATCCGGCTCGCGTCACCACTGAATAGGGATTGTTTTGGTGGTTTCGACGCGTCGGGTGGCCTTGCACGTGTCTGGATCACCTCCAGTTGATCAGTTAAAGCTAGGTACTTTACTCTTTTAGGATATTCCAGGATATCCATCAAACACTCCATGCCGGGTCTAGCTCTGGGAACTGGTACCACATTTACCACAGCGACACTAAGGTACCCTCGGCGAGGGTAAAGCAAATGATGAAGTGAGAGTGCTATCTATCTAGGGGGTAAAGGTACTATTATCAAGCGGATTATTTGGTGCCATCTTGAACCCCATACCTCTCTATACAGAAAACTTCATACCCAGTACATACCTCGAGGTACCTGAGCAATTATGTCCTATATACCAAGATCATTGAGCTTTCAACTTTGCAACGTCGATGACACCTGTAGGAAGATGACGGTTGATGTATTCACAATACCAGTTTACTTCGGCAATACAAGGCTCATATCCTTCATACTACCTAGGTACCGTAGCTAGGTAGGTACTAGTTAGTATCCACGGATAGAAATAGGTACCAACGCAATTTGTTCAATCGAAACCGTTCTGCTCCGTAATATCTGCTCCAATATTCTCCGTTGACCATCCAGCACGGATCAGTGGCCGTCTGTAGAATTATTTGCCGGTGCTAAAAATCAATGAATTTTAGTCTCACTTGTACGCTAGACAGACCTTAGTCATGTATCCCAATCATTCAAAGGCAGTTTCCTTTCCATCAAATCCCAAAAGGCTTTGAACAAGGCTGTTTCCGCTACTCGGTCCTGAAAGGTTAATATTATTTTACTGTTCATACAGTAGCTACCTAGGATGCCCGTGGCTCTGACAACCCATTTAATCCAGCAAATGGAAGCGCCTCTTCATCACAGATTGTACCGTATACGACTCACGACCTACCTACCTAGTCGAGGGCGATAATGCGCCTTATTTGAGGTAATAAATAATAACAACAACAACAACAACAACAATAATAATAATAGTAATTTAATGAATGAACCCGGGTACACTCACGAGAGTCATCCACTCTGGCCCATTGAGGTTTCTGATATCACCCTCTCCGCATCGCACTAAGATGAGGCTTGCCTTCTGATTCGGTTGTGCTTCTACGCTTCTTTTGTATCTAATGATATTATGGTAGGGTTTAATCTACCACTGCATTATTATTGGGCCCAGTGATTCAGTGAAACCTGGCTCCTTCAAACTCCCAAGTCATTAGTATTGTCTTTCCCCCGCGCCCCCGGATACTAAAGACTACCTAGTGAGTCCAACAATATAATAAAATGCACACTATGGCCTGCCTTAAACTCACTCAGGCAAATGTCAATCTCGCTTCTCTGGTTCCCGAGTCGTCTGCTCAACCAGGTATTTTGGCCTTTCCCCTTCTCCCTGCTTACTCCTCGGGGCTCTTCTTGTGACATCTCACTGATTGTGGCATTTCAGCACTTGGTTTGAGAAGCCATTCGACGTATATCGCGAGAGCCACATAAGAGCTGCTTAGCGCTTGATGAAATCTCACCATGGGCTTCTAATCGTCGCGTCATCTTCTACATTGACTCGTCTACCTCTGTCCTAGGATCTTGTTGTCAATTCTCAACTCTCCTGCCGCATTTCGAGGATGTTCCAAGCCACAGGACAGAGAGTTTGGTCTTAGGTGACAGGCAGTGCCACTATGAGCCTACTCAGCCCATGCAGAGAGTACAGATTCATGCCATTTTTGCTTTCTTCCATATCTCCAAAGTCTGGGCAGACGACTTTCTCTCATTGTGATATGAAAGAACCTTGGCCATTCACATCATGACGCCCTCTCCAGAGAGAGACTTGGTCCTCGACTCGGCCACTGCAGGTGGCACTACCGAATTTCAAGTCAGCAAGAAAAAGCGATCCAACTCGGAGCTAACAGAATACCCTCGGAGACGTGCGACGATCGCAGTATGTATCCTCGACTTCTTCTTTTGACTTTTGCCCTCCCCTTTCCGCTCGTCACCTGGGTGTTGGTTGACCCATGAGGAGCACCGCAGTGCCAGATATGTCGCTTACGAAAGACTCGATGTAACGGCGCGCGCCCGAGGTGTCAACTCTGTACAGACCTAGACGCAGACTGTGTCTACAGGGAACCAGGCATCAAACTCGATGCTGGCGACAAACTAATAATTGAGAGGTTGAATAGAATCGAGGGTCTACTTCAATCTACTCTGGTGGGACAAGCAACCCATTTCCCACTGTCTTCCACATCCCCTACCACCAGCAATGATACGAATGTGGGCAGCGATGATGCGGTCGCCAAGGCATCCACTATCGCCGCCATGTCTGGGAGAACCTCCGTTGCCGGACTTGGGTCCTGGGTGAACCCACCAACGAGCATCTCGACGATGCCCAAGGTGCACACTACTCCCGCGCTACACCTTCTACAATGGCCCCTTATTCGGGACCTGGTCGCTCGTCCCTACGATCCGCAGACGTTACTGCAGCTTGAAATGGCCCGCGAGCCGCTTAGATTTCCTTCCGCTGCAGGGTTCGACTTGTCCAATACAACAACGTATGTACAGTCTTTTTTCGAGCGGGTCAATGTCTGGTACGCCTGTGTGAACCCATACACTTGGACACGCTATTACAGTAAAGCCGTCTCTCTGGGATTCCGAGAGGGACCCGAGAGCTGCCTTGTCCTCTTGGTCTTGGCTCTAGGCAGCGCCAGTCACTACGGAAGCATCTCGTTCATTCCTTCAGATATGGACCCCCCAGGACTACCTTACTTTGCAACAGCGTGGAATCTTCTGCCATCAGTAATGATGCGCAACTCTGTTTTGGCTGCTCAGTGCATCATCCTTGCGTCTGCCTACTTATTCTACCTAGTCAGACCTCTGGAGGCTTGGACCCTCCTCTCCAATGCTAGTATGAAATTACAATTACTCTTCGGGGACCCCGCCCGTGTACCCCTTCAGTGGAGAGAACTGAGTGTGAGAGTGTACTGGAATGCTCTCTTATATGAGAGCGACTTGCTGGCAGAGTTGGATCTGCCTCACTCGGGCATTGTGCACTTCGAAGAAGTTGTCGACCTTCCCGGTGGTTTCGAGGAGGAGGAGGACGAAGAAGATGATGAAGCTGACAATGAAGATCGTCAAACCAGCTTAGTAGAGGGCTCGGTAGGCCGCGAGGAACTATGGTATTTCCTTGCTGAGATCGCTCTTCGGCGACTCTTGAATCGCGTCAGCCATATGATATACCAGAAAGATAACTCGCTGACTCTTGGATCACTTGGGCCCATTGTCTCGGAGCTGGATTTCCAACTTTCCCAGTGGTATGAGAGTCTCCCTCAACCAGTCCAGTTCCCCCTCAGCCACACACCGATTTCCAACCCTGTCCAGACAGTCCTCCGATTGCGATACTACGCGTGCCGGACTATCATATACCGGCCATACATCTTAGCTGTCTTTGAGAATGAGCACGCTGCGACTGATCAGGTAGTAAGGGAATGCTGCCGGCGGTGCTTGGAGGCCACGCTGCGCCAGCTGGAGAATATTACCAGTCACCGCGAAGGCCATCTGCCCTATCTCTGGCAGGGCGCGCTCTCTATGGTATCGCAGACATTGTTGATCATGGGGGCCACGATGTCCCCCGGACTCTCCACTTTATTGCCTCCGGGATTCCGAGTGGATGCGATAATATCCAGTGTGATGGCCGAGGTTGAGAGATACGCACACCTTGCGCCGAGCCTCAAATTATCTGCAGAGATCATTCGCGACGCAGAGAAACGACGGCAAATTTGTCTCAGGTCGACCAGTCGACGAGTATAGAGGAGTCAGAGGAATCAGTTGAATTCAGGCTTCGCCGTCTATCATGCAATAAATACACTCAATACTGAATGACTGTTTCAGGACAGCTGACAGGAAAGCTAGGGTCTGATGCACAAATGCCATAATTCATTCTTCTTTTTTTTTCATGCTTGATCCCAGTCCTGATAATTCGATCACAGTCTCCTCCCATCGTCTCTGAAACTCCGCTCTTTGCGCTTCCTTGTACTTTGTTCTTTCACCTAGCACTTGCTCAAAGTTCTTCAGTAATCGCAGATCCACTCAAGTGACAAGCTCAGTCCAATAAACACAGTTCTATACCCCGGCTCACTTGTGGGTAATATATGACATGAGATGCAACAGATTGAGAATCATCAGCGAGAGAACATTACCGTTGATATAATTAATTGCCTTCAGTACTTGAGACAAAATGTGAAAATCTGGGCAGATTTCAAAACTTGCTACCATGGCAAACGCTCAAGCACATACAACCCTTCGTATCTCGAAAGCATCTAGGGCAATGGTATCGCAAGAGAAAATACAGTAACAGGGTATGCAGAAGGACATGTTCTCCAGACAAAGCTGAGATTATAGGTCAGGATAGTCGACGGTCGTTTATGCATTAGTGACTTCGGCGGGGAAGGGGGAGGGACAGGGGCAGTTCCGTTTGAAATTCTAATAAGGAGAATTTAGTATGGGAGAGGTATATCAGTGTCAAAAGGAGGACATCAGAGGGCAGGAGGGTTAAAATAGCAGGAGCTGAAGGGCTGAGACCGTCGATGGTGGACAAGCAGTAAAATACGCTAAGGCTCGAACATTTACACTCAGATCAAAACCCATTCACTTCCTCTCTTGATGAACTTATCAAGCATCATGCCAATGTCGTTCAGAGCGAATCGGCATATATAGAATCCGAAAAATTCAGCAGCATGGCGTGTGCTCAATTCCAGGCCGACTAATGTGGGCGAGGAATGTTTGAGACCGGGATCTTCAACTTGCTGGGCTATCTGGTCTACATCAGATAGCCTCCGTTAGCACAGCAGGATTGATAAGAAGCACGAGGAAAGGTACTCACCCAGCACCTGCGCCGCGTCGCACAGTCGGGCGAGCGCAGCCATATAATGTGCGTTGGGTCCACTGAACTGGACCTGTGGTGTAACACGCCTGGCAGCCTGAGAAGTTGGCAACGAAGTCATGGGGAGCGAACTGATTGTTAAATGATCTTTGCTGGTTTCTTTGGAATGCACTGGTGTAGCGGGAGCACCGAACCCTGGGTTTTTGGAACGCAATTTTCGCCACGAAGTCAGATATGATGATTTGCTTGAACTGCTGTTAACTTTTTGCGGCACATTATCAAAACCATATGCCGCATCCTCAGAGCTCTGAGAATATTTGAAGATCGGCAAAGCCCCTTGCACGCCGACTTCGCTGCTTATCTTCTTTGACAGAGACACCTGCACCTGGTCGAGCACAGCTTCCAAGGATTGCATTTCCTCCAGGACGGCGTCGGCGTCATAAGTGTCCACCTTAGCAAGCTTAAGTAACGCCGCCGTCAACAAGTCGCAGTTGGACACCTTTTCTTCGACCGCCCTAAGTTTCACGTTTTTGACGCCCCACACATCATGGGGCACGAATAGCTTCGTAGATAAATAACCCCCTCGCGGATGAGCGATGGTCTGGTAAATACATCTCATGAGCCAGAATGGACGTAAAAGGAATGATTCGGGACACGGCTCTAGAGGAATAGGGGCGTTCGCGGCCATTGGATTGGGGGATCCGGGACTTGTCGGTGAGTGGATGTGGCTATCGAACAAATACAGGCCTCCACTGGTCAGACCGGACGGCGCAAAAGTTGCACCACTAGGTGTAGGTAGAGAAGGAGCCGGGCCAATTGCCGTTCCCTTATGGAGGTCCGGGAATGCACCGCTTGATGGCGTTTCCGGGGAATTGGCGGACAGATCAGGCGCTGGTACAGAGACATTCCTCGGCCGGAACGTCTTCAGACCTGAATTTAACTTGCCCAGGTTGTCTGGAGCTGAAGGGACCTTGCCAATCAGACGGGCGGGTGATGGCACCTTCGATATCCTGGCATACGGTTTTCCCTCCTCTGTAATAACTTTCTCTAGTACTTCAAAGGTGGAACCATCTTCAGCCAGTGACGCAATTGAAGCATTCCTTCGGTTGAGATGCACGGCTGATGCATGAACGGAAGCTGAAGCGGAAGTTTTTGTAGTGGAGCTTGCGGAAGAGAGTGCCTGAGACCCGTCTTTGGGGACAGGGGGTGGTCGAAACATGTCCGTATCCGCGGAGCCTTGGGTGAGCGCATCATCGCCAATCTTAGGACGAGAGCTTGTTTCGATTTTCAGTTCTGTCGGGTTTTGACCTGACATTCGTCGTGCTCGCACGCTTGGACTCGCTGTTAGCACAGAAGACTGTTTGGGCGGGCCGGAAGGAACATGAGGTGAGGAAGCTAGGTCGAACTCCAATGGAGTAAGTGCGCTTTGAGATTTCTCTGATTGATCCTCTAACACAACGTCATCTTCCTCCAGCGGAGCCAAAGTCACGCCGGGTATTGTTGTAGCTGAATTAGGGACAACCGAGCTCTCCCAGGTCCTAGCGGATAACATGCTTGAACCTGACTGGCGCGGAAGAGCAGATTTTGACTGAAGATCAAATGCGAAATCATCCATAACGTAGCCACTGGTCATTTCATCCAACAATCGCTCCTCTTCTTCGGCTTCATCGTCAGGAAAATCCTGGATCAAATCACTTGAATGGTCGAGCCTCGTCTGCTCGAGTATGTGGCGAAGATCGTGGCCCTGTGTTATTGCTACTTCCGCTTCTCTCTCCGCTTCCCTTACTCTCTGTTTTGCCAACTCAACGTTCCTGCGAGCGTTCGCTACAATCTCATCGTCTGTATCGTAACCGTCCACCTCTACCGCTGGTTCCAAGCCTTCATTGTATGCAGCCTCAACGGCAGCATCTAACGCAGCATCAAATTCAGCTTCAGTACCATGGCTGAAGCGGTAGCTTCTCCTCCGCCGTAGATACACAGATGATACTCGGGAGTGCTGGGAAGAAGGTGAAGAAGCACCAGACTCGTCGATAGTATCGAGCCAAGAGGTTGACTCGTAAATGTCCCTGGCGTGAGTGCTCAGTAAGGTCAACTCAGAATGAGGATTCCCGGAAGACGAGGATTCCTCGTCCTGACCGAGTCCTCTGGTCAAATATGTATCCTGTGGAGGGCCCAGTGCGCCCTGAGACAATTTCTCCGACGCTTGCCTGAACGAGTCAGACTGAGCCGGTCTGCCGGACACGGGTGACGGTATGGCATATCTTGACTCATCCTCCAAAGGCGACGGCAATAGCGACTGACGCCTCGGAAGGATTTGATTGGGCACCATGGTTCTAGATCCTTCAGAGATGGGATGATCATGAACGAAAGATCTGGACTGCAAGTAGTCATATCTCTCCTCAGTATGAAAATCATCCTCGTCATCTATGGGTTGCGACATTGCTCCGTATGACTCCTGACTAAGGGGACGTTCAGGAAGCGCTTTGCTGTTAACTTCGCGGAAGGAGAAGTCCATACGACGCAGCTCGGTTACACGAAGCATATAGGTGTCGCGCTACAATATCCCTGTCAATAAGTTCTGCGGGGGTAAGAGGGCAAACTTACAATCTCTTGAAGCTTCATTCTCTCGTCTTCTCCTCCGTTGCTTCGCAGCATGACTAGTTGTAGAAGTTGGCAAGCATCGTTGTAAGCTTCCATTGCTCCTTCGAAATTAGCTGCATTGTCCAGGAGAACTGCAGTATTAGCCTTCTGCAATGCTTTAGAAAGCATTGCTTTCTGGGAATAGCCCCGCCGCCGTCGTCCAGAGCCATATCCCTTGGCTGATGCTGGGCGTGAGCTGTCGCCAACCTGTTGAGAGCTCGCTGGATCATGAGACAGATTATGCTCGCCAGAGCCCATGCTGAGTGAGCTTGACTTTGCCCACGGGTTTTGGAAGAGAGCGGGGGAGGCTAACATAGGCTCCGATGTCTCAAGGTTTGAATCAAAGGTATCATTCGCCGCTAACTTGGGTATCGTACCAGCATCTGATGATCCAAGTCTGGACGCTTCGGTATGGCTAGCTGACATCGAAGGCTGGGAGACACGAAACCCCTGTGATTGGCCACGCTGGTGATCGGGAACGTAACACTCACGGCTGGAGGTGCTAGCCGGGCTTGCATTTGCCTTCGGAGATTCAATATTACTGGGCGATGAATTTCCCCGAGAACGGTTGACAGGCGAATCTTTGCTAGAAACGGTCGATTGAGACCAGCGATTCAGGCTACCGAGGCCTTCTAGAATCCCATTATGATCGGTTTGGACTTCCGAAATCGCGTTGGTCGTCCGCTCTGGTATCAACTCGGGCATTGTTGTAATGATTGTCACGGAGCTTGCGGTGTTTTCAGGGACAGTTAGTTCGCCTTGGTTCAACGTTGTCTTCCACGGGAACGTCTGTACAGCCCTTTTTCATTTCCCAATAGCTGCCAAGCGAGAAGCAAGAGGTGGCTATTCTGTGAGGCAACCACAAGTAGGCATATATGGATTGTCGAGGCCTGAACTTAATATATATTCCTCAGTTCTGAACGCCTTGCTCAGCGCATCGTTGTTTAGCGCAGGATGCAATGCGTTCACGGACAGCGCATTGCTTCCAGGAGACAGCCAGCGAGCAGCGCAATCAGAAGCAACGTACACTTTAGGATAGCCGGTCGCGGTCGCAACTGCAGTTCAAGCGAGGCGGCAGAGACCGGAGCAAGGAGATAGTAAGCCAGGCGATCAAAGTGGTCACTTCGGCAGGAATCGATGGACGGCTCAGAAACATCAGAAGCGTGGTGATGGTTTTCTGGAAACTCGGCACGGAAATATATCAGGGACAATAATCTGCAGAAAGAATTGGAATTGTGTCAATTGCCGTTTATTGGCGAGTGCGCAGAAGCCAGACAACAAGATCGCTCAGAAGCTGTCTATAGGTAGAGTCAGACGTACCGGCTTGTTTAGCAGATTATCGAGCATGGAGAACTGATGCGGTATAGTTTTGCTCGTAAATGATCAATTCGAGACCGAAACAGAAATCTAGCATCAACAAGAACGTCCAACTACAGGATGGTGGGGGAAAATATACGAGATCTCAAGACATGATTATTGATAGTGGCATCATTATCGGCGATGGTAGGCGGTTCAGGGGAGAGAAGCGGAGGCCTGGTCAGTGGTCAGTGTCACCCTGGTGGTTGGACAATTTGCGGTGCGGAAAAGGGGGCAGTGGGGTATCGATGTCTCTTACCATTGGGAGGGAAATTCTTGTAACTACACTCAAAGATGTTATTTAAGCTACTTTAGTGTCAGAATGTATTACACTACTTACTGTTCGGTCTCATGCAAGCTTTCCTCAGTCTAATATTTAGCCCACTTTGTATCTGCTTGTGCTCTTTTTACCTATGTTATATTTTAGTGATGGTCCTGCATAGCCCAGAAAATAGGTATACCGCTCTAGATTACTCGATATGGATACCTATGTCCCTTAAATTTGTGGCGCTACTGCATATACGATTCGTGATTGATTCTCCAGGTTGGTTTAGATGTTAAGATGCTATAGATGTATATTTATCTACTGGTGGATATTGCCATTTTGCCACCGATGTAGATGATAGACAAATTTAGTGCATCTATAAGTGCCCTTAGTCTGTAAGTATTAGTACTATGACTATCAGCTGTGTACATCAGAGGATCGGAGAGATTGGCATCTGATGTGTCCTTGGAAACAATACATTGCGCCTGGACGGGAATGGTCCATCCTTTCTATAAAAAGCAGCATACCGTCGCAATGGCGAAGTTTTTCTGGCTTAGCAGGTATTCAGGCATCATCGCTCTTCCGTCCCACCTGAAAAATCTCCTACGTTGGCAGGTGTACTGGGCACGAACAAGAGTCGAAAGTTGATGGTGTAATCGATAACTGAACTAACTACCAGGTGACTGACTGTTCTCTTCGCCCAAGCGTACACTACCATGGTACATATGCATCGCCGGTAATTTTCAATCAGCAATAGGAATCCCCTGTTGAAGGAGATGACCAGTCTCTGGACAGCCATTGTCATGTAATTGACGGCAGGTTGCAGGCTCGACGCTATCCGATGGCGAGACATTCGTGTCCAGGGACATATTGGCAAGACCACTCCAACAACTTATTGGGAGTTGAACGGATAGAAGATCAAAGGTCGCCAGAAAGCCTAGCCTCTGCCGTGTATTCCCTGCGTCGGAAGGTGGTCAGTAGACGGCATTAGCAAGAACGATGAAATGGTTGTCGAGACATGTGAAAAATAGCCAGCAATTCTGGCGAGCCATGGGCAGGCCCTCATAACTGCAAGAAAAAAGGTATTTCACTATGATGGAACTTCTTCCGGCCCTGTCATTAGTAGGAAAGACATTCAAAGCAGGACATAAAGGCCGAATATATGGATTTTCCCATGTCGAACCCATCTCCCATCGAACCCTCCTCACGCGTAGTATTTGATCAAGCCCGCAGGAGAAGGCTCAGTCATAAATACGTCCTAATTGTATGTTCTCCATCATGAATGTCAAATTGTACGCAAATACATGCTCTCAACTGAAAAGAGATCCGGTCTCATGCAAGCCAGAACTATGGGCCTCATGGCATCGGTGTTGCAGTCAGTCAACAGATACCTTTCTCTGCACATAGCATCTTCCAACCTGTCTAGAACAATTAACCTAGAAAGTTGCTTCCTACACCTTCCCAGCAAGCAATTTGGGGCGGAGACAATATTCATATGGATGCCTAATCCGCAACAACTTCTTGTGTGTATTTACCCCAATTGCCTAGGCAATCCTACAGTGTCAACAAATCCGAACGAATTTCGGGATGTTCAGCACTTGGGCTCCCCCGTAAGAAGGTGCTTATAAGTTGGCTTCTGCGCCAGGAGGCTGGCTACCTTCAAGAACGGCAACAAAAGGCTCAATCCCCCACGACTCTGTAGGCGGGGCCGCGGGGCTGAAGGCAATCTAGCATCCGAGTCCCTGAAGACAGTACCTCGAATTGTGGATGGGCAATTGAGGCCTCGACAATGCCTGCTTGGGAGAAGACTGGAAATGCCTTTCAAATCACTGAAGGATAGAAGCTCATGAGCCTGTGTATGCCTACACCCTGTGAGCAACACGGAAGGTTATCGCAGCGCGCAGCCCTCCCCAATCTTTCTTTTCCTCTTTCTCTTCTACTTCCACTCTGCTGCTTTTTCAGCGCACATCATTTGCACAAATATAAACAGAGAAATATGTATAATTCATCCATTGTGGTTCCTGAGCCAAATAAAAGAGCTTGTCCTGGTTCTAGTCTTCCTCACTGGTTGCTTCAATATTCTTCTTCATTGAATATTTGCTCTCAAATTCCGCGCTGTGGTCTGTTTCATTGCTGTCATCCCCATTTGGCTTTTTATTGGCCTGAGGATAATCTGGCCGCGGCACAAACTCCCCGCTCTCTTTAAGCGCCATTTCAATATCTGGTAATAATGTTACAAGAACTGAGAACTGGTCGATTGGTAAAGAAATGCCCTATACTGCAAGTCAGTTGAGGTGGGACAGCGCCTCATGTTAATCTCATTTTACCTTTTTCCCGGGGAGCTCTTGTCCATCCTTCTCGTAATACTCTCTAATATTGACGAGTGTCTTCCCTCGAAAGGAGGAGATAGTGACACGACGCATTTTAGAAAGCTCCCAGAATTTGTCTCCATTTGCATCAACTTTCCAGTTCACTGCGTTATGCATGCTGTGAGGCGATGAACTCATTGATGCTTCAGTTTTTGCTTTCTTCTGCTGGAAGTTTTCATTGTTGTTGCAGTCATCACTGACACTTGGCATGCGCTTCCTGGGCCCAGACGGCATCCCCAAGATCTGGTCGTTGATAACTGGAGAAAGAATCAAGATGGATACTGTGGTAGTATGGATAAGAGATCACTACAATTAATTTGTTCACAGTGGTTCGAAAAGCATAACTAGTGATTTTCTAATATAAGATGATTCAATGGACGCGTGAATATAAGACGCGTCATATCATGTGAGAAATAATGGAGTAGCAATGACTAAGTGGGTCCTGATCTCCCAGCTGGGTTTAACTCCTTGAACTAGACTCTGAGGTCCACCTTTGTTGTATGTAGGTACTGTTAAAACTTATAGCTCTGTAAGTCTTGTATGTCTTCTAGATACACAGATAAGAGACCTATTACACTACTAAAGAACATGCAGAGGTGCCTTTCCAACTTTCACAAGCTAATATTGATGCTATCTAGTAATGTATATGTTCAGAGCTTTAAGGAACAAGTAACAAAGGATTTAGGTCATTTTTCTACTTCCAATATGCAATAGTGTAGCCACATTCGAACAGAAGAAAGACAACTAAATCTCTATCTGATAATCAAAGTTCTAAGATCCCTATTGATTAAGGATGATATGCTCCTTCTTACAACCTTTTGGTTGGGGAGAGTTGTGTAGCTTTTGATATGAGAGTATGCCAACAGGTGATGCAAATTTTGAACACACGAATTTAAACATGCGAAACGCCATTTAATGTTCATATTCACCTATTCAGACTTCACCTTAATAAGATTCCTGGGCAGAGTCTTCCACGGATCATCTGGCTAAGAAGGGAGAGAAATAATCATCAGCTTCATTGAAAATCACACCATTCTCGGACGGATCAGAAAGTCAGAGCTCTCAGAGCTTGCAAAAGAATGGTGTAAACAAAACCGCGCGCAATCATTTCGACCTGTAGGCAATCAAACACCCTCTCGAGTGATTCGCGACTAGCAGCGGCCCCCATGACACTTGTAAGCGCCTGCGGTAGCCCCTTAAGGACAAGTGTTTTTCTCGCAGTTTCCCTCATACGCTCCTTTTCCGCGCTACTGGGCGACTGAGGCCACGACTCCAGCTCCTCTTTCGTCGGCAGGACATTCTCGCGGAGCTTGGTCAGATAGGAGGCGATTGATACATCCGAGGTATTAGCATCAATCATGGACTCCTGTAAGAGAGTGCGAATCGTCTCTAGACTTGGGCTTCCGGGGCGTAGGATATACGACTTGGCCGCGTTCAGAAGTGTTCTCCTGATGTTCCATGCAGATGACAATGAGTATAGTTCATTGATAACCGCAAAGATGAGCTCCACAGCTATTTGTGTCTCCTCCTGGGAGATAGGGCTTTCTTGACGCCGCACAGTACTTTGACCATCTGACGCTTTCTGCTCTTCCTTCAGTTTTATGCGGGAACCAATGTTAGCCCCACCATCAGAGTCAGACAAAGGCCCCTGGAGGCGATGGCTCTCGAGTTTTGAATCGGAAGATGCAAGATCTCCAAACCTTGGTATAGTAGAGTCAACAACGTTTCCGCTTCCATGGCTGGGAGGGACTTCCTGAGAACCTGAGGACTCGGGGGTAGGGACCACAGCTAAAGAATAACGCTCTGTCTTATCGTTCTCGCTAACAGGTCTCTTCGGCCCGTCCACACTGTCAGAGACTACACTCCCGTAGTTCATTTGTGAGATGGATCGAGTTGATAGGGAACGGCCATGGTCTCCTTTATATCCTTTGGAGCTGAATGATGTTTTTTTGCCGTTCGCTCCTCCAAACACCCCGGTCACACCACCAATGACGGCTTTACCACCTTCAGCAACGCCCTTTGGTGCGTTAGTCAGAACGCCTAGCATACCTTTGCCCATGTTTTCGAGCGCCACCGATGTGGGAAACGGAAACCCAGATTTAGCTGAGGCATCGCTGGCACCAGGGTCGAGGCGCTCATCCTTCTCCAAAAACCGTTTCATTCTCTCGCAATCCGCAAGCGCTTCATACTGAAGCGCATCCTTAAGGTATCTCTCCAGATTATGCACTAGGGCCCCCTTTGTCTGCCCCTTCCAAGGTGGCAAGACAGGGTGGCTTTCCGTGAAATCCTGTATCTTATTAAGCCTCGCTATCGTTCCAAGGGTGCCGTGTAGTGACTCAAAATCTGCATAATTTCTGAAAATCATCCACCCAGTGCGACGTGTGGCTGCTGGCTCGATTTGGATCAAATAAGTCGATGTAGGTTTTGACCGAATTGATGCTTTCTCACTAGCTTCAGAGAGCTCCTCTACTGAAACGGATGCATGATGAAGAGTCGTGACAGGTAATTCTTTAGATGGGGAATCCGATAAATGCGAGGCTGGCGGTGCCATGCATGGGTCTGTAGGTTGAACTGGAGGATGATGTTTCGTGGACTCTATCTTTGTCGGATCATAATCATTCCGAATCTCTGCGGTGTCTTTGGCCTTCGGTGTATGGATTGTTGCCTCTTTGTTTTGGGTCCCGACAAGCGAGTGGCGCGGCAACATGGTTGACTGGGAATCTGAGGACTGCACATCTTCAGGCGAACACAGACGAGCGGTTTGGACCTGCAAGTCCTGTGTCTGAAGCGTGGCGCCCCCTGGTGGATAGATTGGAACCTCAAGGACCTTGGTCGTAGGAAGAATTCCATAAGTATCAGAATGTCCAGCAGGGTTTCCCTTAATATCTGAGTTGCTAAACGGAACTGTTGTAGACCTGTTCTCTTCGTGGGCGCCCTCGACCGCGACCACTTGTTCCTTGGCCCCCTCGACCCCCGCATCAATGGCGTTCAACAACTCCGATTCACCTTCCCTTAAAAGATGAATGATCCAGGCATTGATCGTCTCCGATCGCGAAAGATTGGAGACCGCCGACTCTAATACTACACCGGCCAGAATCTCGCGAAGGAATTTCCTCAGCACGGAACAAGCGTACGCTCCTGGTTCCAAAAAGCTGGATAGGATGTCATCTGCTACCATCTTTAATTTCAATCGCTGCTGCTGCTCCGACAAAATGTTCGCTAAACTGCTTTCCGGATGTAAATCCAGGTACCGTTTGACTGCATCTTCTGGCGTCAAATGGCCCTCGACATGCTGGAACGCCGCTGACAATTCATTCAATAGCACGATAACCATAGAAGAAGAATTTGTGAGAAACTCCAAGAATGCATCTGCCGGTCGTTTTCGAGATAGATGAGAGGACAGAGAAATAATGAAGTCTCTCAACAATTTCCGGCATGAGAGAGGGAACATCTGCTCTGCTGGCAATATGGGTTCATACCAGTGACTTGTATTCTGTCAGAACGTGCGGAGACATATGTGATGCGAACATACTTTACATAGTCCTTTATAACAGCATTGGTCAATGACCGCAATGCTGCCGCTGTCTTGGGCGGAAAACCAGAGAAATCTAGCTCAGGCTCAGACATCCCCTCAGCAGCTTCTGCAATAATCCCGCCGTCGTTTGATTTTGGTTCTGAAGGTTTGCGACTCGATAACTCCAGCAATCGGTTCGCTATATTCAGAGAAAGCTCCTTCCTTCTATAGATACTGGAAGTACCCGTTGGATCCCCCCTAAGACCAGTATCGACTGCCTCCCATGATGCATGCAGAGCGACACCGGCCACCAGCCCAATCAAAAGCAGTCCAATCCTGCCTAGGAGAACATATGTTACTATCGCCAAGGACGCAACAAGCCAGGTCAAAGTTAAATTATCGGCCGATGAGAGGAAACGTAGCATGTAATCAACTGGCCCCTTTGGTGGGGTAATGGTAGGTGTAAAATCACTTGGTCGATTAGACTCGTCATACCCCGAGGTCAGAAGACAGTCAGTGGCATCCCGGACATCGGAGCAAGTCTCGCTCAAGGGAGACGGAAGAGACCTGTCAATGGAATCATCCATAATGGCTTTCCTTGGGTGAGGATGGCATTAGCCACGTTTGTGTCGTGTCTATTAACGACTTGGGGGTTGTAGAAACGATCAGTTGAAACAGATTAGGGTTTCTGTGATGGGTATAATCTGAAAGCTGGGCCAATTTCCCTGGAGCCAGAGACTTTGTTTCCACTCATCGCGTTCATACAGAGCTTCCTCAGTACGACCTCTAAATACTCAGTAAATGACGATACCTTCCCATTTTTGGTCCCAGATATTGATTATATAATATGTCACGCGTTGCTGACACCCTTTTATGGTATGATAATATCACGTGTGAGACCAAAATGAGGTGGTGCTGGCTGACTATTATGATGTGTCTTCCCATAGGTGTCAGATTCATACTTGTTATTGGTTCATTGTTCAGGAGTTTCATTTGGATGCGACCAGGAGATGGAAATAATTAGAATCCTTAGCTTGACAACGGACTAGATGGTTTATGTGCCCATTCTTTATTGCCTCACATCTTGATGAGATGGTGAGGTATCTAAAGCTATCCAGAATGGGTTTATAATCTCCGCTATCCGAGTGAATCCAGCATTCAAAGAGCATGTAATCATGCCAGATGCAAAGAAGATGGCGGGCTTGTTTAAGAACTTGACTCATAGCCATTGAGCTATTGTGTTATGTTTCCCCAGCGCGCAAGACGCTGTCGGCGAGTCATGGATAATCAAGGGAGCTGTCCTCAAGTGGTTCTGAGGTATTTCGTGTGTGAACCTTTGGCAACGATAGTTATCTTCCCCGCCTCTGATTTTTTGGAAATAATTACTGTCGTGAAAGCAAGCGTCTTCCCAACCTTATCTGCACATCCTTCAATCTCAAGCCAATCCCCCGTCGTGGCCGTTGACATGTAATTGACATGGATGTCGGTGCTCACACCTGTAGAGTCATGGCCACAGGATGCGATGGCAAGCCCACCAGCCCAATCAGTGACACATGCGGAAAAGGCACCGTGCAGTGTGCTTTTGGAATTCAGATGATGAGGAGCAACACGAAGGCGAGCATTAACTTTCCCCTTTTGCGCGCTATAGATTTCAACGTCGTTGAGAAGGAACGCGTATATTGGACTGTTAACACGGATACGGTCCCAGACATTCAAGACCTGATGGAGCTCAGTGTTCATAATGGATGTGGTCTGTTAGCTGTTATAATTGCGGTATTGATAGGGGATAATCATCCAAAAAGCGTTGGCCGATAGATAACTGAGAGAAAAAAATTTTTTCCGTCGCTGGCAACGAGTGGGTTGATTCGAAGTTATGTTTAAGCCTTAGGGTTATCACCTAGCGCATGCCTAACAAGGTAAAGTCTGAAGCCCGCAATTACCTAGGTACAGGAACATTACTCTTAGCTAAGAGCCTACCTAAGTAATCAACTGGAACGAGTTGTACAAAACAAACCCGATTTGTTTCTGGTTCGATCTTACTCAAAATCGCATCCTTTCAGTAGATCCGCGCCTGATTAGAAGTTCGTTTCGTCTGTTCATCAGCAGAAACAATACGTCCACAAGCCTGGAATGGGACTTGGAACAACACTTGATGTAAGTCACTTGTCTGTTCTTCATTCCTCATCGAAATAGAACACCCGACATAATGTAATTTTGATAGTAAACTTTGAATCTCTCAAATACACGGCGTATTCTACATGCTGCCCAGCATCATCCTGGAGCCATCATAGGGGCAGATCATTCATGACATGACCAATCATTTTTAGGATCTATCCCACGTATACCGCTGAAACTCTTGATTGCAATCGTTCCGGTCCGCCTTAGACAGGCAAAACTCCCACGGAAAGGCTTTGGTGTCGCCGGTGTAAGGTAACGTATCCTCGCCTCCAAGTGTACAAAATAACAGAAGCAAGGACTGGTTTACCGCCTAGTCCAGGCTTGCTTGAGGCCGGAAGCAGATCGAGCGTAGATATAGCGAGAAGAGATCTCCGACAAATTCGAGAAGGGGAAGTATCAGTCCTTGTCACTTCGATGCCGACCGTTTCTTGACAGCATCTGTGAAAGCATGAAGTGGCTTACATCCTCATCGGCCCAGTATGTCAAATGGCTGGCAATGCTTGCAATCAGAGATATATCGAATGCACCCCTATTGAAATGTATTAGCATCCTGGGAGTGGGTTCGAGGAGTTCAGACAGGAACATAAAGATCCTCGATAGCTGGAAGGAAGAAAAATTAACTTACTCCTGGATGCTGTAGTCGACTCGTCCATTAGTATTGAGCGCCCTCATTTTAGCATCTTCCATCTTCAACCTCCTTAGGTCCTCACTCTCTCGGCCAACGGCGGACTCAGTGGCCGCGGAATGTAAAATGTCATTGTGACCACTAGTCTTGGTTCTGTTGTTTCCTTCGTAGAGCGTTTCTAAGTTCGAGTCAATCAGTGTACGATATCTATCGGCAGACCCTTCTTGACTATCAACGCCCGAACCAGACCGAGAAGAACCATCCTCTCCAAGAGAAGAGTTAGCCAGTGATCCTCGAGACATTTGAGTCTCGGTAGCAATCACTGTGGATTGTGAAGTTTCCTCCGAACCAAGGCCGAGGCTGCGGTTAAGTAGACTGCTTGCGACCCCGGTTGCGAAATTGGTCCACAAGGTTCCCACACTCTGGCCAACACGACTGCCAATCATGGATAGGCTTTGCCCAGGAGCTGCCCATAGGCTCTTCTTTACAGATGGCAAGGGCTGCGGCTTGAGCGACGACATTGCCGGCGAGATTAGCGGCTCAATTCGGTAACTAACGGGATCAGAAGGGTGAAATATGTTGTACAGTTGCCGACACTTCGGTGACGATACGATAGTCGGCCCTTCACCCGACGCCGTGCTCGCCTGAACTGGTGCGCCACAGCTCGCGGAGGAAGAAGACGTTGGGTTCCGATGATCACACCCCTCCTTGGACCTCTTCATGTTTGCCCCGTCGATCATAGATCGCCCGGCAATGGTGTTTCCTTTGATCATCTGGAAAAGGGCAATTGGAGACCCCAGGCAGAATAATTCTTCGCAGTCAAAGTCGAGCAAATTGTCCTGAGACCCGTCTCGGTCCATCCTCCTCTCTCCGGACGCGGGAGGAGTCGACGGTTGGTGGCATAGGATATCAAACAGGATCGCGCTACCAAGTGAATGACCACAGAGGCTCACAGAGCCATTGAATGTCGGATTTCGCTGCTTGAAGAGTTTCAGAATCCGATTGCACTCCTGCTTAACTATTGTAGAGATGTGTTCACAATAAGCACTTTGATAGAGGAGTACGTCCATTGCCAAATCAGAAATGAGATTCCGGACTGCAGGAACGCTGTCAAGGGTAATATCATTCAATCCGGGATAAGAACTGTCGTCATGAAAGTCTGCATCGGCTAAATCAAGTTCTTTACGATTCTGCCTCACTCCTCTGTAGGGAAAATCAAGGAGGTGTCTCCAACAGCTAAGTCCCATCAGTACGAGAGCTCTTTCGAGTGAATCCAGGACAGTATGATGGTCATAATCCGCAGTTGAGCACTTGACAGTTGCCGGGGGTGGGTTAACTCACACTGGAAGTACCTGAACGCGGCAATTTTTTTGACTGTCTGAGAAACTAGAGTTCAAGGCTTGCAAATCAGGAGAAGCCTTATAGACGCTCTTCATAGTCTTTCGAAAAACATTCACATCATGAATAAAGTTGATGCTTTCTAGCCGCAACCCAAGTCGCTGGCCTATTCCATGTGTGACAAGGACCAAATGGTCAATCTGCCGCTCTCTGTCCTCTTCATCTGCTTCCCTGGAGTCTTCCATTTCCTTCTCTTCCTGCTTCCGCGCTTGCTCCTCAAGCTCAGCTGTATTTTGAGGTTCACCAGCAAGGGACGACATCTGCCGTTCCAGAGTTGACCTCGGATCATCCTGATCAGTCACTTTCTTCCTCACATCCTCATTAGGGCGTGTGTCTGAAGAAATTTCTGACTCAGACTTGACCTCGTGGTCTGTCGAGGCTGCACTAGGGGTATCGGAGGGAGATTTTGTACCAACGCTATGATCACGACTCTTCACAGCCGATGTTTCCTTCTGTCTTTTAGTTTCGATAAAACCACGCACCACTTTTGTACCTGGTATACCGCCCAATTTCTGGTATACGGTACTGCTCATTCGTGACATGAAATCGTCATTCGCCAACAAAGCTGTAGAATAATCCTGATATGTCACTATGCAGTTCATGTAAGCACCAAAAAGACGATAGTGCCGAGGCTCGTTTACTCGGACAGAAGTTGCATGTCCAGCCTGACCAGTAAGTGGCTGCGATGCACATAGCTCTGGTTCGGGTGTGCATTGCAACCCAGACTTGTTCACATCTGATCTATCTGCATTCTGGGGGGTTGGGTTTGTAACGGTCTGTGGGAGTCTGCTTTGGTCATTTTCCAGGCGCCATGGCTTAAGTTTGAGATACCCTTCCTCAAGCTGGGTGGCCAGGTTTTCTTCGCACGGCCTGAAAGTAGACCCCTCTTGGAAGAACCACGTACCCCGGCGCACTTCATAGGTGGGACCTATCCAGTACGCCGGTGTGAGCTCCCTTCGTTCGATGTCCACGTCAAATAGGTTGTCCTCATTGACAGGCACCGTAAATAACCCTTTCCTTGTTTCGCGAAGCAATTCACTCTTTCGTGTTTGTTCTTGAGCAATCTCAACGTCCGATAGCTTTTGGAAAGTGGACTCAATGGCCTGGGAATCTTTCGACGAAAACGGGACAAACTTCTTTGGCGCAGGTAAGGGTTTCGGTTCTTCCTTCTGGTGTTCTGAGAGTAGTGGTTTCCGTTTTGGTGAGTCAACAGCGTAAAACCACCTCACCCTCAGCGGGGGACAATCCGGAGGGTAGTGGCGCAAGCTAAGTCTATGCCTGTGTGTGATTGTATGATCTTCGCCTTGAGATCTAGGAAGAACGTCTGGTCCATCGGTGTTGGGGGAAGTCTTGGTGTTTCTTGATGCATTCCAGGAAGAGATAGCTCCCAGAAAGGACCCTCTCTGACTTTCCCTGGACATTGAGCCCTGAAGACCCCGAAAGATGGATGTGCGGGCCAAGGTGATCGTAATACTACTCAAATCCTTGGTTTGGATGAGAGGATAAAGACAATAATGAGGATGGCACTAGATGCCCCCGTATCGATGATTAAGAGTGTTAGGGATCAGGTATTGGTATGGGAGCTTCTTTCGGCAAGCCAAACGGCGCAATATAATTACAATGGCTGCAATGGGAAAAGAGCAGTCACTAAGGTATGTTATCTTTGATGTGGGGGACAACACATGGAGCCTAGTAATGTCTGAAGTGCCAAGATGGCGATGGTGTGTGTCTACAGAGTATGAAATCATCGGATCGTCTCAGAAAAGAAATAGATATTCAATGTAGAGAGGTATAACCTGAATTACCAATGCGTGTATCTAAATGTATGGCCCGCATGCGTGGTGGGATATCAGCAAAGAGTTTACCTATAGCGCACCTGAAAACAATTATGATACAGATTATCTGTAGGAGCCTAAGGTAAGGTACCTTAGGTAGGTAGATGGGGCTGTATATTAACACCGATAAATTAAGAGACCATGGCCAACTCCGAGATCACCAAAGGACAACTGTATGGTACCCCTCGCACATCGGGTAGTACCTTAGCAGAGGCCACTTCATGCGTCATTGTTTGACTGGTCATGTGATGACGTCGCCCGTATGAAATAGTCATTAGCAACGAACAAAAAATGCATAAGTTTCCAGGGAGAGGATTGAACTTTTGAAGTGAATCTTAACTTCTTGTTCTATCCGCCTAGTAATTAGTCAACGGTCAATCACTCACCAGTATCACCCACCTATATAATTTGAAGCGCGTTGACGTCGTTGCTGTTGCCTCAAGTACTGCGTAATCCGTAAATGTTTCCATAAGCCACAACCCCACCCCACTTCTCAACCTCCCGCTTCCAGTTCCAGGGGTATCCGGAGATTAGGTAGCTTTACTCTCTACCGGCTGCCTGAAACCACGCAACGCTCAGTTCGACCGCCCTGATTTTTGCGATAGTCTCGCGGCTGGGGGAGAAAACTTCATCCTTGCTGCTCTCTCGTTCTGATTACCTTCTTCCACTTTATACTCTCGTTCTCATTCCGTTGCCGTCTTCACATCCTTGAACTCATCTCGAGGCCAGATCTATTCTGGTCTTCTTAAGGCTCCATCCACAGGACGAGCATATCGGCTCATCGAGAAGATGAACGTTCTCAAGCTTCAGAGGTTCGTATTAATCCCTCTTGTTTATCATTTGCCTCGCCGTTCTTCTCAACAGAAGACCTTCACACGGCGTCTTATTTTAAGGCTTTCTCACATGGGTCACCTCTAGGAAATATCCACACTTTGACCAAAGTGAAATTTTCTCCCTTCAGGATGCATTCAGAAAATTGGATGTCGACGATAAGGGGTATCTGGACGAGGCTACTGTGATCAAGGCCACCCAGCAGTCTGAACGTCAGCCGTACGACGTCGTGCGCCAGGCTTTGAAGGAAGTCGATCTCGATAGCTCTCGTCGAGTCGAGCTCGAAGATTATGTAGATGTCCGTGTTTGTATCTTCATCGCTACCGGGACCATGTGAAGCTAAAAAAGTATTCCACAGCTCATTTCAAGACTCCGCTCTACTCCAGCGCAAAATAGAGCAACTGCCGGCCCGAGTGCGGCTCCAGGGATACCCGAGATTGGAATGGGTGTGTCTCGACACGTCTCCAAAGGCAGCGTGGGAGGACGAATTCACGTTCAGGGCTCTTCCGCGAACGTCACTCATACTATCAATGAAGATGAGAGAACTGAGTTCACCAGACACATCAATGCTGTCCTTGCTGGGGATCCCGATATTGGCCATCTGCTACCATTCCCCACTGACACTTTTGAGATGTTTGATAAATGCAAGGACGGATTGGTCCTAGCAAAACTTATCAATGACAGCGTCCCAGATACTATTGATGAGCGTGTCCTGAATAAGCCTGGGAGAAAGATCAAGGAACTAAATGCATTTCATATGACTGAAAATAATAACATTGTGATCAATTCGGCCAAGGGAATTGGGTGCTCTGTGGTTAACATCGGAAGCGGCGACATCATAGAGGTCCGCGAGCACCTGATCTTGGGTTTGATTTGGCAAATTATCCGGCGAGGTCTTCTGGGCAAGATTGACATCAAGCTTCATCCCGAACTCTACCGGCTTCTAGAGGACGACGAAACGCTAGACCAGTTCTTGCGCCTCCCTCCAGAGCAAATCTTGTTGCGTTGGTTCAACTATCATTTGAAGAATGCAAAGTGGGACAAGAAGTAGGTTGGGCCGCTTGCAATATAGCAATTTCCTACGAAATACAGCTCGCTGACATGTTTCAGGGTGACGAATTTTTCCACCGATGTCAAAAACGGTGAAAATTACGCTGTCCTCTTGAATCAGCTGGCTCCCAATCTGTGTTCGAGAGCTCCGCTTGAGACTCAGGACCTGCTTGAGCGAGCAGAGCAAGTTCTGGCAAATTCAGAAAAACTAAACTGTCGAAAATTCTTGACTCCTTCGTCTCTTGTTGCTGGAAACCCCAAACTTAACCTTGCATTTGTTGCCAATCTGTTCAACACGATCCCTGGTCTCGATCCAATAACTGAGGAGGAGAAACTCGAGGTTGAGGATTTCGACGCAGAAGGAGAAAGAGAAGCTAGAGTGTTCACCTTGTGGTTGAACTCGCTCGATGTCCAGCCCCCCGTCAACTCGTTGTTCGATGATCTTCGAGATGGTACCATTCTACTTCAAGCCTACGACAAAGTGATCCCTGGCAGTGTCAACTGGAGACATGTTAACAAACCGCCTAGTTCTGGCGGCGAGATGATGCGATTCAAGGCTGTGGAAAACACCAACTATGCAATCGAACTTGGAAAGCACATCGGGTTCTCCCTTGTAGGAGTACAGGGTGCGGACATTACCGACGGACAACGTACGCTTACGCTGGGACTAGTTTGGCAATTGATGCGGAGAGATATAACAAACACCTTGTCTAGCCTCGCGCAGCGAATGGGCAAGCGTGAGATCACCGATGCCGAAATGATCCGGTGGGCAAACGACATGTCCCGCAAAGGAGGCAGGACTTCGTCAATACGCAGCTTTAAGGACCAAACAATCGGCACGGGACTTTTCCTTCTTGATGTTCTGAACGGGATGAAGAGTAGCTATGTTGACTACGACCTCGTCACGCCCGGCCGATCAGACGAGGAAGCGTACGCTAATGCCAAATTGAGCATTAGCATAGCAAGAAAACTAGGCGCGACTATTTGGTTGGTTCCTGAGGATATTTGTCAAGTGCGGTCTCGCTTGGTCACTACATTTATTGGTAAGTTGGGTTCTTATCCACACAGATCATGCCTATTGACTCATCCAAATAGGTTCTCTGATGGCCACGTACGAGAAGATGCAATGATCACCTCAGTACAGTTTTGTTACAGCTGAGACATAACATGAAACATGTTCTGTCCCTGGTTCGCTAGAAATTCGGATATTTCAAGCCACCTTTATCATGTACTTCATAATGTAACCACTTTGAGATGCATTGGTTACCTCGGCTCTTAAGTTCTACATGAATTATGATATTAGATGCAAAATTAGCTCTTCGAGCCACGTTATGTAGTGAGGGTTCTTTTATAATAATGGTCGTCTAATCTGACAGCAGTCTTACGGTTTATCATACCTTAAGGGCCTGCATTGCGAATATGAATCTTACTGGTGAATAAAGAGACCTATATCGTAAGGTAGACTAGGGTTACTTTGAGCATTATTAATACAAATATAATGGCTAAATAATGGGGTATTCGCAAGTAACTTATTAATAGAATATTAATAATAAGGGTCTCATAAATGACCTAGAACTACCTATCCAGTGATATTTCATGCCTGGCTAGAAAGTAGCAACATGGGATACCTATGCAATAGGCATTTAATGTGATAGATTTTTCAACGGCATTTAACCACACAGCTAACTAGACTATACTATTTTTGTACTCAATTAATTCACTGTAAGCTGTGCTTACTCGGCTACTAACTGTATATGTAACTATAATCACCATTGTGATGTCCCCTACTCCAATCATCTGTGTGATTCCTAGTTCAACAAAGTATATGGAGTAGAAAGAGCTATTTCTTACGAGATAAGCAATTTCCTAGCCTATAAAGTTATGAAGCTATCTAATCATGTAATGCCTACCATCATGCCGTAGGCCCTCGGGTTTAACTCTTGTATAGTCGAGGCAGTCACAGGCTTCTCCTGCGAAATATTCAAAGCAGGGGGGTGCGTCTTTAAAGTAGAGCAGTGTGTCACCAAAATAGGCGGTTCCGTCTCACTGCGATCCCCAGGAGATATCTGGCTCCACTGGAAAAGTGGTAATGCATACGGTGGCAGGGGATTCGCCCATTCCGACAGGGAAACGGACCCTGCCAAATCAGCCTTGAAGGTTCAGGAGCCGAGATTCATGTATCGGATCGAGAACGAGTAGGAACAATGACAAGAACAAGCAGGAACTAGCCATTGACAGACGATCGAGTCATGCCCGTGTTGACGAACCCCAAGCCTCACTCTCATATATCTGTGGAAAAGGGAGGGACGGGGTGTACTGGCGCCTTTTCGGCATGAGCTCGAGATGTCACTTCTCATGCTACGGACACTAGGGACGACCCGTATGGAGCATGGTGGATGATCAAACATCGAAAATGTCAAACATCCATTTTATGATATACTGTTTCCATACAGGAGTTGGTACTTACGGCTACTTCTACTGGACTATGACATCATGAGTCGGTAGCCGAAACGACAGATCGACGGGAAGGATCTCGCGAAGCTTAGCCGTTCGTGATGGACGGTGAAAGGATGGCAATCGTTCTCTTATTAGAATGCGATCAAGACGGACGATGAACGCGGATATCGGGGACACACGTAGGGACGACTAAATTGGCGCAAGTAGAATTAACGATCGCTCGACGTCCGGGTCGGAAATGATTCGAGCTGCTGACCACAATAAATACCAATCGATGAACAAACGAACACAAGCCATGATCCGAAATATGAGGGGAGATAAAGGAAAATGATAAAGAAATCAGAGATGGGAATGGGGAAGAGCAGAGAGCACACAGAGAGCAAAGCAACCATGAACGACCAGCTGTCCATTTCTTCCCTTTCCTTCGCATCGTCTGGTTGGTTTTGCTTCCAAAAATCTCTACATGGTCCTTCGCTTCTGGTTCTCTGTTGTTCACAAGAGAACATGGATTGGGGAACAAGCAAAAGCAAGAAAGAAAAGCAAGGAAAAGAGAAAGAACAAAGGTATAAAGAGGTTGGAGCAAAAGGCATGCGAACGTAAACAGAACGTAGGAAAAGAAAGTTACCCAGTGAACCGGTGTCTATTACCATTACCGGATCGGAAACCTGATTCAAACCAGTGTCGCCACGCCCTCGATAACCATATCTCGAACGAAACATTGATGCCGTCGCGGTTCTTTCTTATCTCTAATCCGTGATCGCAAGCTGTCCAATAGCTATGCCATGAGCACCGAGGGGTCAACCTACTCGGCAGTATCTAGCTCGTCATGAGCCGAAGTCAGAGGATCCAGAGGTGCTGCCAGGGTTAGCTGCAGAACTCATATTTGTCCCCTGATGGATTGGAAGTAATGTACCTTTCCTGTCTTCACCGTTCGGGCCGTTTTCGCGATCTTCTTCACGGGGCGCTCTCTCATCATCACGACGTTCTCTGTCTTCCTTGACATCACGGTCCCTTTCATCAGGGCTTCGCGAACGGTCACGAGAGCGTTCTCGGTCCCTATCGCGACGGTCATAGTCTCGATCACGGCGGTCATAGTCTCGGTCGCGACGGTCATAGTCCCGGTCATGTCGGTCATAGTCTCTCTCGTATCTTTCATCCCTGCGAGGGGAATAATCACCTCGGCTACGACGAGGAGATGGAGAGCGACCTCGACGAGGGGGAGTACGGTCACGACGTCGGTCACGTCCGGATTCAAAGCGCCATGAAGCAGACGGAGGAGTACGGGCCCACTAAGGAGAAATTAGTCTGAAGGGACAATGGCAGAAAGCCAAGAAACGTACCTCTATCTTGAGCAGATCATCGCGGCCGATCCGCTTATTGTGCATCTCGTGATATGCATCGTCCGCATCACGGCGGCTCTCGTACTCGACGAAAGCAAAACTAGCCTCATCAGAACCATGAATAAGTATGAAAATTGAGGGAAACGAACAGTCTGCTAGACGGAGTACGCGGTGCTGGGATATCGCACCGAACGAGGCGTCCATATCTGTGAAAGTATTAGCTCCGGATACGTCATGGAATAACAAACAAGGCAGATTAGGGGCAGGTGAAAGAGTACGAAGCGGAGTGTTTGTCTAATCAGCAGGAAGTTGGATGGGGGGGGGAGTAGCAATGACGAATCGTAAATGAGGAAAAGCCGCTTTTTCTACTCTCATGATGTAGAAGCCTGAGTCTCAAAGGCGTCGGACTTCACTGAATGAAGTGCGAAGGTGGGTACGTAGATCGCAAGTTTCTCAGAGTGTGTAGCAATCGACGAGCGACACATACCGTTCGAATTCGTATGCGAGATCGCGAGCTCGGGTTCCATGCCCGAAACCAGTGACATAAAGGGTGGTGCCTGGGCGAGACATCTTTTGAGAATGTTGAACGAAGATATTCTTTATAGAGTTCCAGTTGCTCAAGTCTGAGCTAGCTAGATTCACGTTGGGAAGATTCGTGGAAGAACAGGCTGACCAAGGAGAAGTGCAAGAAAGTGGTGGTAGTTGAAAGTTGTAGGGAGGGAAGTACAAGATGAAAAGGAACTACGGCGAGGTGGATGTGCCACAAGCGAACGCGCCATACCTTCCGGACTACTTATGGATGACACTCAGATTTCAAGTACCTATATCTCCAGTGAAACGCACAATCCGATCTTCTCATATTTCGACGTATACAAGTATATATCTTGGTCCGGACCATGCTCTTACTTTGAGGTAGTATGATCATGCAACTTTGCGACTCTTGAACTTTAGGCGACGGCTAAATAATCTAGAACAACATAAGTATTTAACAAGCCGTACGAAGTAGACTATAGGTACAATGGCCAATTGGCGACGGCGATAGGAAACCTGAACCGGCCGCTTAGGTCGGGCGGGCACCATCTGAACGGATATCAAGCGTGACGGACAGTTGTCTCAGGTCTCTGTGATCGTAGATCGAGTCCGATCACTTCGCGAGAGGGCTGGAATATGGAGTAGCTTCTGTAGAAGCCCTTCGAATGTCTTGCTTATCCGATGATGTAAATTACCGGTGGGATTGTAGCCTTAGGCCACCATTACAGAAATCACCCAGAGGTGTTGTTTTGATAGTAACAGGTTGACACAGCATGCACCCTATATAAAGAGAGGTAGGCCTAAGATAATCAGGATATCTTACTTCTCGTGTGGGTTCTATTATATCTAGTAGTTGCGCACGGGGTATTCAATGGATCTGAGCCTTTTGAGGGCTGTATCAACAGGTCTACAGAGAAAGAATCTATCTCACTAGTGGGATTGAGGGCAAATGTTTTCGTTGATTCAACCTTATTATCAGCGCCTCTAATGCCTCAGTACAATTCGCGTCGGCTTCATTAGGAGTCGAGGTTTCATAATTCAATCTTCCCTCACGGCAGGTTTGCGTCCTTCTCCGCGGCATTCATGCTGCTTTAGCTAAATGAAAAGCTTGAAGATACTTGATCAGCCTGCAGTTCAGAATTTGAGGATCTTATCAGCATCTGACTATAGTTGCACCTGTGCCCTTTCCGACTCTCTTGGACTTCATTCTCTGCCATTTCCTGATATATTTATATTTTTCGGTGTTTGTCGTCCACTTTAAATGTCGATCGTTCATTTCAAAGAATAAACCCTCTATTTAGACCGTGCGCCAGGACTCGGACAGACGGCGCGTAAAAGTCGAGACACTTCGCTTTTACCACGAGCCATCTGTGGCTACGGCTTGAAAACTGAGCTTACTGTGATAAAATGAGCTTAGATCGGGATCAACGCAGGCGAGATGCTGACATCAAAACGTCTGGGGAAACCGAGTCGTCCGAGCTCTGTCAATTGTCACCCTCGGGTCCCGTCAATGTGAGTTAAAGCGCTGCTACAGCTCCCATACCGCGACTCCCCACCGGTAACATCTGTTTTCAGGCATCACCACTGAAGAGCGCACCGGTTTTGACCAAAACTAAAGAAAGGATATCCGACCCCGTTATCGCAGCATTCATTGCTGGAGGGGTAGCCGGTGCTGTATCTAGGACGATCGTATCACCACTCGAACGCCTCAAAATCTTGCTTCAGATTCAGACTGTGGGCAGAGAGGAATATAAATTATCCATATGGAGGGCTCTCGTGAAGATTGGAAAAGAGGAAGGCTGGAGAGGCTTCATGCGTGGTAACGGCACAAACTGCATTCGCATAATACCCTATTCCGCCGTCCAGTTCGGGAGCTACAACTTCTACAAAAAGGTAGATCTCGAGGACTGATAGCAGGATAAATTGAGTTGTGGCCTAGATGCTGACCTTTATCTTTTTCCAGTTCGCGGAACCTTTTCCAGATGCTGAGCTGTCGCCAATCCGGCGCTTACTATGTGGAGGAGCTGCTGGCATCACTTCGGTCACCATCACATACCCTCTCGACATCGTCCGAACGCGACTCTCTATTCAGTCAGCATCTTTCGCTGCTCTCGGTCAGAGAGGTACTGCCGAACAACTGCCTGGAATGTTCACAACTATGGTTTTGATTTATAAGAATGAGGGTGGTTTTGTTGCCCTCTATCGCGGTATTGTCCCCACAGTCGCTGGCGTTGCTCCCTATGTAAGTAAAATCCGAAGATTGATGAACAGGTGCTTATGAGATTAGGTGGGCCTCAATTTCATGACATATGAGTCTGTTCGCAAGTATTTGACTCCTGATGGGGATAAGAATCCCAGTCCCTGGCGCAAGCTACTAGCAGGTGCTATCTCAGGGGCTGTAGCTCAGACCTGCACATACCCATTGTGAGTATTTAAGGAGACATTGCTTTTCCATTTTGGTAGTCGCGAGTTAATACGGTCATAGTGATGTCTTGCGACGTCGTTTCCAAATAAACACGATGTCGGGAATAGGCTATCGGTATAAATCAATTTGGGATGCTGTGAGGGTTATCATCGCGGAGGAAGGCCTGCGCGGGTTTTTCAGAGGAATAGTGCCTAACCTTCTGAAAGTTGCTCCGAGTATGGCTAGCAGTTGGCTCAGCTTTGAGTTGACAAGGGACTTCCTTGTTGGATTTAGCGATGATAAATAAGCATGACCATTGTCTTCATGAAAGTTGTTAGCTGACAGTCATTTTCTTGATATTTATAATAATCATAGAAGGCTGGGAAAGTTTCATTGGAGGATTAAGCAGAGGTAACTGGTTTTGACCAACAAAAACAATAATATGTACTCATGTAGGTATAACTTGTTAGTAGGCGCTACTACTTCACTGTCTAGGATATGATGCAGGTAAGGCAGTATGAGTCTCCCTTAGATGGTGATATCCAGTGACCAAGGATTCCCACGAATTACGGAGTATATAGATACATGTCTTCTTAAAACATCACCAGGCCAGACTTTACACCATTGGCATTATCTTGCACCGCCCCTGAAAATTACACGAGCAATGCATTTCCAGTCGGTTAATTTAAGCCCAGGGTGCATTTAATACACAAGCACACCTCTCGTACACTTCCAATCGGTCAATTTAGGCCCAGGTGTGCATCTAAAGGATTGGATATACATATGACCATAGAGGCGATGGATCTCATCATTGTCTCGGGTCCTTCAGGATTGGGGTTTATTGAACTTTTCTGATACTACTAGAAGAAACTGTCTCATATCAGAAGTATTTAGGGCTAGTCACAGGCTCCTCTTGTCCCTTGCTATGTATGGTATAAAAACCATATAAAGAGCATATATTCATCTAAGAATCATCTCTCCATTATTTCAAATAGCCAGACATCTTTTATTGACTAACATACTTGATTACATTATTATATGCTATACTCCACCCTATAACCATATAATTTTTTAGTCATTACGTTGAATCTTTTTATAGAAAATGGTCTCGTTAAAAGTACTTGGGATAGCAGCATCACCCTTGCTGTGGGGTCGAACGCTCTCTACTGCAGACAAGTGGCAATGACATTGGATGGACAATTCCCTAAGAAAGAGGATTGCAATGAGATGTGCAATAAGCAGGCTGAAAAGGCAATAAAAAATCTCAATGATCCCCAACTCAAGGATTCATGCATGGCAGATGACGAGGCTACGCTAAATCTTTGCCTCTCAAACAGGAGCAAAAAAAAAGGTGATGGTCAGAAAATACAGATATTGTGCCTCTGTAGAATGGAGATCATGCTATGGAGAGTCCACAAGGACGAACAGAACGGCAAATCTTGTGCTTCACGCGGCGACGAGTTGAAAACCAGACTACTAGCGGTTGCCATTCCAGGCGGCAAGGATGAGTGTTTCGAAGGCCGTGAAGGATTGGAAGGTCGAGAATGATAATGTTCACTGCAAGCACCAATAGGCATAGAGGAATACTTGAAGGATGTCCCAGCTTGAGCGGAGAATACCAATGTCTGCCTCAGGCCGTAACCCCGCGGGTGGATGGAGGATGGCATGACATCAACAGCGTCGCCAGGAGATCTTCCTTGCAGTAACTCTTCTTCGGACTGATATCTCTGTATTGTTAGTTTCTTGGATGAATGATATTACTTCCTTACCGTCAATTTGGGAACGGGTAAGGCCTTGCAAAACCGGACTTTACACTCTGAGCATTCTCTTGCTCTGGCCCTTGTACATACATAGGGAGTAGATGATTCTCTTTGAAAGAGTATATATGGCTCAGCATTATACATCGTGTAAAAATGACTCATGAAGTGAGCATGTTTCTAAGGTATTTCAATCAGGCCTCTAACTTCATTTTTACAGTGTATCCTACCTTATGCACATAGAAACATTAGTCACACAGTAACTATCACACAGGCACCATTGCTTAAGTGTAGAGTTAAATACCAGCATACCAAGCTTTCTATTGCTCTGATGATGCTCTGTATAGATAGCTGAATGCCAAGTTTACTATATGCTCCAAAATGATCGTTGAGCCTACATAGCCTGGGCTCTTAAAGTGGTCTAGACAGGTCTTAGGATCCAATGACATGGGAACATTCTATGGTAGACGTAAAACGCACTCTGGTCTATTTATTCTGTAGACTACAGTGTTCAGCTAGAATACATTGGCCTAAATCAAGGAATCATGAGGGTATGTAATGTCAAAACCTGCGCAGCAGAATAGAACAAGGCTAGATGGAAGGTAATAGGAAAGGACAGATTTAAAGGACGGAAGGAGAACAGTACACTGGTGGAATGCAGGCCTCACAAACAGAGAAACAATAAAAATATTATTAGAGAGTTTCTACTCTGTACTGGTCTCATATTACTGTGTACCTCTCTATAACTATAGTTAGTTAGTTACTAGGTATGTAGTCAGCTACCTAGCCACTGGATAATACCTCAGAGTACTCCAAGGCACTAATAGACGTGGGACCCACATTAGTTGTAAGTCACGAGCTCCAACTTCTAGATTTGTCCTAGTATAGGGCTCAACCCGCACACACCGTCTATCTGAAAATCATAGATCAAAAACCTCAACAGATTTACATTGTATACGGGCGCGACAGCAAGCCAACACCCAAGGTGTCCTATCAAATACAGCAGCCATGGGTATGTATATCCGTTCAAACATCAAGATTACATGCGTTTGAATTGTTTCGATTATCAACGCACATAAAAGACACGGAGATTCAAAGGCTAACAGTTGTATCACTTCAGGTATCGACCTGGACCGTCACCATGTGCGCAGCACCCACCGCAAGGCGCCGAAGAGCGAAAATGTCTACCTGCAGGTCCTTGTGAAGCTCTACCGCTTTCTCGCCCGTATGATAGTTTCTTGAATTCCTGACTTATAGAGATGGTTACAATTGGAGGCTGATTTGAGTTCTCTGTTCTGCTAGGCCGCACGGAGTCCAACTTCAACAAAGTTGTGCTGCGCCGCCTTTTTATGTCGAGAATCAACCGCCCTCCCGTCTCCCTTTCGCGACTCGTTTCCAATGTCACCGATTCTCACAAGGGCAAGACCATCGTCGTGATTGGAACCATTACTGATGACAATCGTCTTCTCACCGTTCCCAAACTCTCTGTGGCCGCGTTGCGATTCACCGCTACTGCGAGAGCCAGGATTGAGAAGGCTGGGGGTGAGACTCTGACTTTGGATCAGCTCGCACTTCGGGCACCTACTGGAGCCAACACTCTCCTCCTCCGTGGCCCCAAGAACGCTCGTGAAGCTGTCAAGCACTTCGGCTTCGGACCCCACAGCCACAAGGTGAGACGATATCTCACTGTCTTGTGTTAACCCAGTCATACTTATACTTGAACTAGAAACCTTACGTTCGAAGCAAGGGTCGGAAATTCGAGAGAGCTCGCGGACGTAGAAGGTCTCGTGGCTTCAAGGTTTAAGCAGGCATCTCAAGGAGTTGACGATGTCCCGTGGGTTGAGTTGGTGTTGTCACATAAACCTATTGCCAAAAGTACTTGCACAAGGGCTCCTGCTTTCTTGCTATCAGATGTGGAGCTCCTAAATGAGTAGGAAATGTGACTGCAAAGCTCGCGCTGTTGAATCTGGAATTTCCGGATACGCTGGGCCTAGAGTAAATTACAATGAAAGGAATGAATTCTTATTGTGCCGGTCGAGATCGCAAATCATTCATAAATGAAGCCACTATATAGCTAGATTCTCATGTTTCCACTTTTTACCTCCCTCTCCTTCAAAATAATCACCTGCCCTGTGTCCCTGACCCCTGAGCAGATACTTGTAGATGGTCAATCCGTCTAAACCCACGGGCCCTCGCGTATGGATTTTATTCGTACTGATGCCAACCTCAGTGCCAAATCCGAACCTCATTCCATCTGCGAATCTAGTCGATGCGTTCCAAAAGACCCCAGCGCTATCCACACCACTCATGAAATATTCAGCAATCTCTTTCGACTCTGTCACAATTAGGTCTGTGTGTTTCGACGAATGTGAGTTGATATGAGAAATCGCATTCTCGACAGCTGAGATTGGTGACGATGTCGAAGGGATGGTCTTGACAGCTAGGACAAGGTCTAAAAACTCAGTGTCGAAATCCGAGTCGACTGCATCTTCTAGTAAATCTGCGGGTGGGGAGGATATATTTTTCAAGAGAGCAGATTTCGATTGAATGTCGCAACGAAGCCGGACTCCCTTGGCCAGAAGGGCCTCAGCGACACCGGGGAATATAGTTCCAAGGGCGTCTTCATGTACCAACAAAGACTCCAATGAATTGCAAGCAGCTGGATAATCTGTTTTAGCATCAACGATGACTTTGACAGCAATTGCTGGGTCTGCATCAGCATGGAGGTATGCAGAACAAAGACCATCAGCGTGGCCGAGAACCGGAATCTTGGTGTTCTCCTTGACAAATCGGACAAGGTCGTTGGAACCACGGGGTATGACCAGGTCAATCAAGGAATCCTGCGCTAGAAGTGACGAAACAACGTCTCTGGTTTTAACGAGCTGGACTGATGCCTCGGGTACGCGTGTTCCCGAGATCGCTTCAGATATCACTTTTGATATGGCGATGAAGGACTCAGTCGACTCCTTTCCTCCTTCACTCAAGTCAGCAATGTGGAATCCGCTATCGATCATGCACAAGTACCTTTCAGAATGGCAGCATTTCCTGATTTTATGGATAGTGCCGCGATATTCGCGATCACCTCGGGACGGGCCTCGAATATTATCAGCAAGACACCAATAGGACAGCTCACTCTCTCCAGGATGAGACCATCGTCCAGTAGCGTCCTTAGGGTCACTCTCCCCACTGATAGACTGATTAGTATGATGTGTATTCGGCCAATTCATGTACACACCTGGATCTTCCAGATCCCGTACACTAAGAATCCCTTTTAGCATGTCGTCATATTTCCCAGGTCTCGACAGGTCGAGCCTCTTGAGGACACTGTGGCTGAGGCTGCCATTATCAGCCGCTTGGCTTGCTATCGCAACATCCTTTGCGTTGGCATCAAGGATGATTTCTCGATTTCTCGATAGAGCATCGTGAAGCGCTGTCAACGCATCGTTGCGGTCGATTGTGGGCAAAGTTGCGAGTTGACGAGAGGCTAAGGACGCAGTCCTCGCGATATCAACTGCGGAGGAGTCGGTGAGCGACATTGCAAAAACCTTTGACGTGTAGCACAAAAGGAAAAATTAAGCCGTGGCGAGGGGACAATCGGATAGACAATAGCCCCAACACTACTATGACTCAAATGTCAAAATGATCCTTGGGCTACTACTACAGATGTGGGGCAGGGAAATGCCCGCTGTCTACTATGTACAGTGATAACTGACAAGGCATGTCTAATTTCTTATACCTTTGGTGTGCTAGGTACCTATCGACCAGCTGAAACATATAACTCCAGGTACCTTTCATCCGACGGCGTATTATTAATATATACATAATTAACCTGGTTGATGACGGACTGCCCTAGAGGTAAGAGAGGCGGATTTCGGAATACGTTCTTGCGCTAAAACTAATTACTCCGTTGAGAGTATTAAGATTGACTATACTCCGTAGTAACAACAAGAAACATCACGAGTACAAGTAAAGGACGTAAATTGCCTCGAGGCCTGCAGCATAGTTATATTACATGTTACATAGTACAGTAGATGTCATCAGATGTGTCAATATATATCGACTACTGCAAGAACCACCCCAAAGGCTGATGATCACGTACCTTGTATCAGGGTTCGGTGGAGTGAATACTTCACTAGCACTTGGTATGACAACAATGTCACTATCTTTTCGCAAGCTACGCTGATGCCACCTGTGACCCACGCATTCTGCTTTCCCTTACACTCAGAGAGCCTGATTATCGTTCTTGTCCCCAATCTGTGAGCGGTGATCAGATGAGTTGAAAGATGACAGAGATACTGTCGCGCCTCACTGTGGTGTCATCCCTCCAGCATGCCTCAAATGAGGAAGACTATGATCGCGAAGTTTACGAGCTCATTGCCTATTTAAAGCAACCTACAAAGCTTAACGAGATTAAAAGGAGTGCTGATCTATTGCTGGATGTAAGCAGATGCAAAACCATGCCCTGTTTTGATGCCATTGCCAATATGACCGGTGTCGTCGCTCGCTTACACCCCAGGCAAACTGTTACAGGGCCTCAATCCATCTCTGCATTCGGTGGCCTATCTATTCGTTTTCCATGCTCGAGTCAAGGTCTTGGGTGACAGGTGCAACCAACGTTTGCCAAAGGATGTCCAGCCCGGGGGTGACTTGTGGAAAAGGGCTATTGAGTTTCTGAAGGTGTTCGACCCAATTCAAGTTCGCTACGCTGGCCAGGAATGGAGACGACTTATTGAGCTTGTAGCCAACGCCGCACAGGCTGCTTCAAAGGCAAGACGATTGCTTTCATTCACCAGTCATGACCCTTTCTTCTTTTGCTAAACATGACAGGAATCACATAGACTTTCCTAGCAGTCCAAGCGGTCAGAGATGCAATACTTCGACTGGATCCGGCATCAGAGACTTTCACATCGACGCATCTCCTTCTTATGAAACTTTGCCTACTCAGCAGATCGTATCGGCACGCATTGCCCGTCCTAAACAAGGCTATGTATCACTTTCCTGCGGGACCCAGTCATGCTTATCAGGCGCACCGTCAGTTTTTCCTCTGCTCTGAGCACGGGTCAAGCGCGGCGTACATCACCCATGCTTCCGGATTCACTGCACAGGTGTCATATAAAGACCACCTGCAATACTTTCTATATGGCGCGATGGTATACATGGCACTCAAGGAGTGGGAGAGTGCGCTTCATCTCTTGTGCATAGTCATCAGTTGCCCTGTCGCCAATACTGTCAGTAAGATTATGGTTGAGGCATACAAGAAGTGGCTTCTGGTCAGTCTACTGGCGAAAGGAAAGGTGTGTCTTAAGAGAGCCAACAATCAGCATGCCATTGAGAGTATAACTTACAGGTTTCCTCCAATAAACAGGTTATATCAACGCCTGAGATGGTCAATCCGCATGTGATGAAGGTCTATCGGTCATTGGTATTGCCATATGTGTCACTGGCTGATGCCTTTGAAAATGACGACACAGAGAGACTCAGGGCCGAAGTTGATGTTGGACGGGCGATATGGCTCGCTGTAAGCTGATGGAAAGCCTGTGTCTGGTGTTTCCTATTCTAACAGACAATCCAGGATAACAACATGGGTCTAGTTCTCCAGGTCGTTCATGAGCACAGGAAGTCTGTTGTGGTGAAGCTAGGCAGTACATTCTCAGCCGTGGCTATCGCAGACATCGCGCAGCGAATAGCATCAAATCCGGTCCCCTCCACAGAGGTTGAAACATCTATATCGTCTATGGTGATATCCGGCTTGGACTCGACTCTTTTACACTCGAGCAGTCATCACAAGCCCACAATGCTTCACTTTCACGCTGGAGGAGCATCGAACTCTTTTGGGGAAGAGCATATGGCATTTCTACTGGATTCAGAGAGACTTTTGCTGACCACTCTTGCTGGTAATCTCGATCAGAGCAACCATGATCTGGAGCTAAGCAGTGAGCATCTCCAGTTCCTCCGAAGGGCTAAGAATGCCTCGGAGCTCAGTTCTGGGAAGTTTGGGATGAAATTCAAAGATGATATCTCCACCTGGGATGTAGATGAGGACATAATGAGTGGCCTGCATTGAGACCTGGGATTTGGTAACAGGCAGTTCTATCATGGGTGTGTTAGCATTAGCCCCTTAGCTTTAATAATTAGTTGACTGGCTAGTTTTACTTGTTTCATTATAGGATAGTCATCTAATTGGGATATTCAGCATCATAATAGGAGTAGAGCCTTCAAATCATGTAAGAGTAGGGGGTAGCTGGTAGGGCATAATATTTGTATGATAGGGAAGATGGTTATTTTATTATTACTCTTACTATTATTAATAAGCATATATGCATGTGATTAGTTAGAAATATAATAATTCCCTAGGATAGAAAGAAAAAAAGAGAAAAAAAGAAAAGCTATTAGTAGTATAGTAATACTAGAAGAAGATAAAATAAATAAGTATATTACCTTAGATAGCTATTAATATTTCTATAATATATTTCTTTACTTTCTTTCTAATTACCTAGCTATTAATTAACTTAGAAGTTAAGGTATTATATTTATTATCTTTAATATTAAAATACTATTTCTCTAGGTATATAAGGGCCTTGTAAGTAGTTTTAGTAAAGATAGTATTATTAGTAAAATCACTGATTTCGGCCCTGGCCGAAATGGGGCCAGATATGAGGGAATATACTGGGGTTCGGCCTAGCCCAGGTGCCTGAGGAATATATATATGTATGCCGACGGCGTCAGTCTGCAAAGACGGCCATCAGTTAGATAGTCGCTGCTCACTAGGAGCCTCCGGCATGGCCCAGCCCGGCGCCGAAACGG